TAGGAATTTATTTAGTACACCCTTTAACCCCTTATCTTGGAATAGACAATTAACATGTTTTAATGCATCTTGCGTCAAATTCCAAGTACACAATCGGTGACTCGTGTCAGGCATAACAATGGGTATGGCTTTAGCCATTGCAGCATCTTCATCGGTGAACAAAGTTTTTGGTGCGTTTCTTGACATAGCCTCTAGAAAAGTTTGAAACAATCATACAAACGATTTGGCGGTTTCATCATACAACAAGGCTACACCAAATAAAATTGTTTCCTTATGATGGTTGAATGCCACAAAAGATGCAAATGGTCTATGTTCTTTGTTTAACTTGTAAGTCGTATCAAATGTGACAACATCACTAAATTGGGCATAATCCATGATCATTTGTGCATCGGCTCAAAACATATTCGTTATTCGCTCTTCATTATCTAACTGGAAAGAATAAAAAAAAGAAGCATTCTGCAAAGATTTTTCTTTGAAGTATTGCAACACATTGTCCACTTCTCCATATGCTAAACTTTGTTGTCTTTTGGTTCTCAAATAATTTTTTTGATCTAACTCAATTGCTTGAGTAGCTGATATCTTTCTTTGTGATGGCAACATGTGGGCACACTTGGGTGATACAAGATCATGGTTGTGTTTTTCTTTGAAATCAGTCACAAGAAATTTCCCCGTACCCTCATCTAATTTAACATAAAGTCGAGCCTCACAACTAGTCCTAGTTTTAACTCTAGGGTTTTTTGTCAATGGGTTGCGCTTGTCAATCTTCCGAAATCCCTCCTTGTTGTAAACCAAAAGTCTAGTAATAAGTTGGTTAGTGAACTTGTTCTTCCTAGAATAATCCCTGCTTATGCTAAACCCCATTCTTCCTTCATATACATTATAAAAATTATACGCTTCTTATTCTAAATCAAATGTCATTTCTTGTTTTGACTTCCAAGCACAATCATTCTCAAGTTCCATATTCATATCAAAATGAAACTGAAAAGCCATATAACTCAAATCTTAACTACAGATAAGTCATATAAGTTATATTTGCTACAGAAAAAAATAAAAACAAAAATAAAAACAAAAACAAAACAAAACAATTCCATCCTTAATCATATAAGAGAAGTTTAAACATACAGCAAGAGATTGTGATGCACAAATCAAAAACTAAAAATAATCCATCCTTAAAAACACACAGCACCAAATTTGCTGTTGAAAATCAAAAAACAAAACAAAACAATTCCATCCTTAATCATTGTAAGAAAAGCTTAAACACACTGTAGCAGATTTTTAATCTGAAATAAATAAATAAATAACTTAAATAATCCATCATTCACCAAATCTGTTGCTGAAAATCAAAACAAAAAAAAAAAAAAAACAAAACAATTCCATCCTTAAACATGAAGCTGAAATAATCAATTACAGATACAATGAAGACTAACCTCTGGATGATTGACGTCGGATTGGTTTGCTCACAACAAAACTCTGGTTTGCGAAGTGAGGGTAGATAGAATGAGGGCAAAGCAATGGGTTCGGTTTGGGAAGTGGGTCACCGTAGAGAGGGTCGCCAGTGAGACAGGTTCGATAAGGTGGAGGAGACGAACGTGAGGGCTTTGGTTTGCAAAGCAGACACAATCAATCCATCTCGATCAGTTGGGTTTCAGGTATGGATTGTCGTCGTCGGGAGTAGGTTGTCACCGGGATTGGGTTGCCGGTGAGGGTGGATTCGGTGAAGAAGAATGGGCGAGTGTGAAGCTGAGCGAGAGTGAGTTCCAAAAAAAATTATGTATAACCTGTATGGCTTTGGGCACGAAAATTTCAAATTTCTTTTAATTTTTTTTTTCTTCTTCAATTTGGACCGTTAGATCTGGTTGGCTGAATCTCAACCGTTGCACGAAAAAAGTAAAAGAGAAAAGTTAAGGAGGGGATCCAGACTCCTTATTTAAAGCATATTTACAAGTTCAACTTTTTTTTCTTTTTTAATTTTATAATAAATTATCAACAACTACGTTTTACGACTTATTTTAATTTGTTAAGATACCAATTTTAAAATATACATTGATAAAACTATATTTTAAGTATCCAAAACAAAATTTACAATTATTATTTTTTCTCACATTTTAATTATAAATTTCATCATTCAAAATCAATTATTTGTATAACCCGCCCACAATATGTGACAGACCACTTCTAAGCCAATTGGACTGGTGTTTGGGAAATTGAGTTAGTTTTTTTTTTTTTACTCATTAAAATTAAAATAAATTAAAATAGTTAATAAGATAAAATATTACATTTAAATTATAATCATTTCACTTCTTTTTTTTCACAACAATCAAATCAAATCAACTATACAAAAAAATCAATTATCATCCCAAATATAATTTTTTAACCAAGTTAAAATAATAAAAAAATAAAAAAATTAACTAAAATAGCCAAATTTCCAAACGAAAATGAGGCCCCACTTGGGAAGTGTAACTTTTAGACAAAAAATTATTATAAGTTGTTACATCATTTTTTATTTATTTATTTATTTATTTATTTTTAAACTAAAGGATTATTTGAAAAGTGCTAAATTAGTATATTTTTTAATTTTTTATTAAAAAAACATAAAATATGAGTTAAATTTGAAATAATATGATAAAAAAATAATGTGACTAAAATAAAATGATTATAATTTAAATAAAATAATTCACAAATTAGTATATTTTTAAATTTTTTATTAAAAAAACATAAAATATGAGTTAAATTTGAAATAATATGATAAAAAAATAATGTGATTAAAATAAAATGATTATAATTTAAATAAAATAATACACAAACGAGACATTTTCCATTAAACAAAGGCTAACTAAGCTATTATCTAAGCTTTTGTGAGAAGGTTGACCTAATTAATCTCTTTACTAGATTACACTTCATAAAATTCCATTACTGTGGTCAACTCTGGCAAAAAAAATACTCTTTTCGTTTAAAAATACGAGTTTCTTATTTCAGAAGGATTGAAATAATACAAAAAAAAATTATTTATTTTTTAAAAAAATTTATTAATATTAATATACATAAAAACATATATATATAATGATGACAATTGTACTATTAAAAGTAGGGTTGTGCAAAGTATCACCTAATCCGCTAAAACTTCACCGATCAGCATCAATCAGTACTGCTCTAACCGCTAACCGCGGTTTAAACTTAAAATTTATAATCCGTCAACCAAACCGCTCCGCTCCGCTATAGTTAATATATATATATTTTTTACCCTCTAATGAAATTTCAATGTAAAAATGAGTATGAGAGAGATTTAATATATAAATTTATTACAAATTAGTAGTTATATATATGAAACATATTATATAAAATTATTTTGTGTTATATATCTAAAAAATATTATACAAATTAGTGTTAATATATTATGCAAATATATGATAATTAGTTATAATATTCTTCAATCCGTCAAAACTGTCAAAATTACAATTTGTCCATCCGCTAATCTGCTATTCGATTTGTAATTTTCCGTCAACCCGCCATTCGGTTTTTAATTTTACTCTCAAACCGCCCGAACCGCACCGCGCACACCCCTAATTAAAAGGATAGTTTTAAAAAATTAAATATTTTTACAGTTAATTACCTAAAAATCCTATTTACAAATGTTATACTAGTTCAGGTCCTATTTAAGATTTTTTGAACTAATAAAGCCTATTTAATAAAACTGAGAATATTTTCAATTTTTCTTAATTTTTAAAATTAAGAACATTATCAATTTTACATAGTAATATTTCAGATAATTATTTCACTAACTGATAAAAAAAATAGAGTATGAGATTAAATATTTTTACCCTTATACTTATTTATTTGATTCAATTATTTAATAAAATCGAAAATATTATCAATTTTTTTTTAATTTTAAAACTGATAACATTACCAGTTTTTTATTTTTATAGTTTTTTTTTCCTAGTTTTGCACATCAATGTTTCATCATCATATTTCTTTATAGACATAAAAATTTTAATTTTGCATAAAAAAAATATTTCAATTTTTTTAATTTTTTCAAAAAAAATATTAATTTTTTTGCACATAATTTTTTTTTTTAATTTTTTCAATTTGAAAGTTGATTTTTAAAGTTTTAAAAATCAAAATAAATGTCAAATTATCATATTCCTTTATAGATAATCTTAAATAATGACCAATCATTATTTAGAAACCAATTTCGACTATTAAAAAGTTAATAAAATTTAAAAATTCAAAAAATCTTAATTAAAACTTAATAAAATATAAATTTATAAATTAAAAATTACGTGCAAATAACCCTATTTTCTAATCATTTAATAGAAATATATTATATTTGGTTTGCATTTGGGAGATTAGTTTTAGAAAAAAAATTTTAAAAAATTGTTTGGTTTGAGTTTTTCTCAAAAAATTTTCAAAATCACTTTCTCTCTCTTACACAACAATCAATCACTTTTTCTTTCTCTTCTCTCATTCTCAATTACTTTTTTCTCTCACACATATCTACTCAATTTCTCTCAAAATATCAAATCATTTCAAACTCTCAAAAAAATAACTCTCCCAAAATATACGACCAAACAAACTAAAAAAATTTCTAAACTCTCTTCTCAAAAAAAATTTCAAAAACAACTCTCCCAAAACAAACCAAACAAGCCCATAAATTTCATACTCCCTCCGTCCCAAAATATTGGTCCCTTTTGGGGAATCCAACTTTTTTTGGTAGTACACTTATTTCATTTGAAAAAAGTTGATTTTCCAAAATTACCCTTTTGATAGTACATTTTTTGAGAATATCAATGTCATAATTGTACTTTTTAAATTGTTTATTAATTTAAAAGAAGGGCAAAATAGGAAATTGATATTATTTTTGTACTTGATTTATAAAGAGGGACTAATATTTTGGGACAATGAAAAATGAAATAAGGGACTAATATTTTGGGACGGAGGGAGTATCTTTTATCAATTACAATGCCATTAGGCAACACATGAGAGACCCACTTTAGTGGATGTAACTTTATCTGGTTGGTTTGTGCGTACTGTATTTCTCTCTCTCGTGTATCTATCTGTCTATCTATACGTATATGAGCTCTGATTTTGATATTTAGGGTTTTGAAATGTGGAGGGAGACGGATATGGAAACTTTCGAAGCCAACTCTATTTTCGCACTCAAACAAACCTCTCAATCAGAGCTAGGGTTCGCATCCTCTGATTCAGTCACCCACTTCACCACCACTCAGAGTCAGTCTACTCTCGATTCCGATTGTTTTACTGACGAATCTCTCTCTCAGAAGTTCGAAAACATAGGGTTAAGATCAAATGAAGACGAGAGCTCCAACGAATCGCACCCTCTTCGTCCTTATGCCGAAGATTGCCCCTTTTTCCTTCGGACTCGAACGTGCAAGTTCGGGTTGAATTGCAAGTTTAATCATCCAGTGAGAAGAACTAATCAGGTATTTTCAGTTAGCTGATCTGAAAGTTGTGTTCTTGAGCTTGGTTTTGTGTTTGTAATTGTTTCTGTTTGTTGATGTGTGTAGAAAGCTGGGAAAGAGAAGGAGAAAGATACAGGCAAGGCCAAGGAGGGGTTTTCAGAAAAGCCTGAGCAGACAGAATGCAAGGTTTTTGCAAATTTTTTTACTATTTTTGTTCTAATTGTACATCCATATATGACATACAGTGGTGGATCCAGAGTTTAATTTTTAGTGGGGTCACTTAGGTGATGACATTTACATTTCACTTTATGAACTCTACCAAATTGATTTATTCAAAATGCATTATTACAATACCTATTTAAAATAAATGCAATGGCAGATGATTCATTGATAATGAAAATTGAACATTTAATGGGCATGAGGTGGTTCTTGATTTTATTTCAGGTTGAGCTTCTCTCATGTTGAGATATGAACATGACAGAACTTGATGGGCGCATAGGGCCCAACACACGTCTCGTGTCGATAATCCAAACCATTTATTTTATAGGGCCCGCAATGTATAATATACATGGAAAAATTTAGGGTGACTTGATGATTGTAATGTAACCTTTTATTTTATCACATTTGTCTTTAAAAAAATGATTGATCTATTTCAAAGGTGTATTTGTCGTTGTCGTCCATTTTTTTGAACACAAATGCAATAAAATGAAAATGTTATGATTATTGAAGTGAACTAATTTTCTTCATGGATAATATAAATTGCAAGCCTTACAAAATAAACAATTCTAATCATCGAGATCGGACACGTGGTGGGCCCTAGAGGCCTCTCAAGTTTTTTCATGTTGAGATCTCAACATGAGAGAAACATAATTCTTTGTGGAGTTTAATTAGAAAATTGTTATCAAAGATTTGATGATTTCGTAAATAAAATAAAAGAGGTGTATGATAGAGAGGTGCTAAGTAACAAAGCCAGCACCACGTAGCCCTTATCATCCATGTTCATGATCTGAATAATGCCTGTATGAAGGGATGGAAGGTCAAAAAGCAAAATCAAAGAACTGGAGTTTGATGGATGACCATAGAGGAAGATAGCCAAAGACTATGACGATGGTGTCACCGTCACTGAGGAGAGGTGGATGTGAAAGTGAGGAAGAAGAAAGAGAAAGGGATAAATGGGTTTCTCTAATCTCTCAGTTCTTCTTCCAGTGAGTGAATGCATGTGAGCCATTGGATCTTATTTTGGATTAGTGTCCCAAAGAGAGAAGGGGTTTGGAGGATTTTAGTATGGTGTGGAGCCTCTCCCCAAGAGATGTGGTTGAGAAGTTGCAATTTTCCAAATATTTAGTTTTACAAGTAGAATATATAGTAATTCAATGAGTTGATATAAAAGGCTACATTCCAGTCCTCACCACGTGGCTAGCCACTTCACTATGGAAATGTTTTCACGGAACTATGACAATATTCCACGGGTGAAATTTATCACCATGAAGAGTAGCTTGTGGAATTAGCTGATCTTTTCAGTAAAGTTTCCCAAACTTCATGACACCCTTTCATATTTGTATTATTGGTGTCAACTCACGTCATACACGACGATGAGTTGGCCTGTTAATTACTTTAAGTTGCATAAGAAGCTACTTTAGTCTCTACAAATCAGGATGCCATGTGAATTAATGAATTACTAACTTTTGGAAACTCCTAGTGGAACCAACCCACGGGTCAGTCTTCCAAGGAGATGCCTTAGGACCCACAAAAAGTTGAGATTGATGAGGCAACATAAGAAAATATGAAGGGCCTTTAACAGTTAAGGGATTTTATTAGGTAGATACCACAATAAGATTCAAAACTCAATAAATATTTTAAATGCATTTACCATGTTGCATATTTCTTTTGTGTGATGTATGAATTAATATGTATGAAGTGAAAATGGCATTTTTGTCTGTTATAATTCTATAAATGTATCTCATGCAAAATATGCATTTTATTTCTAGCATTTTGATTTTTCAATCATGCAATAGTATCTAGTAATCCTTCCAAAGTTTTCATTCATTTCCATGTTTGCTATTAATATATGATTGCGATTCATTCGGATATTTTGATTGCAAGACATCATGTTTTTTTTTTTTTTGGTTGCAGAATTACCTAACACCAGGAGGGTGCAAATATGGAAAATCTTGTAGATACAATCACTCCAAAGATGAGTCTGAAATTGCGCCTCCAGAGCTTAACTTTCTAGGTTTGCCGATAAGATTGGTAATACTTATTCATTCCAAAATTTAATAATCGTGCATTTTTTTTTGTTTGTTTGTTTGTTTGTGTGTGTGTGTGGTTAATATTACCAACTTTAATTCCTAGTTTGTAGATAGATTCCATGCAAAGTTTATGTGTGCTGCTCGTATATAAGGTTTCTATCCTGAAGTTGATTGCATTGTCTTTTGAACCAGGGAGAGAAAGAGTGGGTGGCACGCCATGCTGGGCCACATGCGAAATGGTTCTTGTGGATATGGAGCTCGCTGCAGGTTTCACCATCCTGACCCCACTGACGTTGGAGGATATGACCCTCGTAACTCAACACGTAATGAAGAGTCTATTGGACAATTTGGCCGGCCTTCAGAAAATTATAATGGTGAATCTATTCCATTGCATGTATCAGGGGCATCACAACCAGCTCAAGCATCCTGGTCTTCACAGATGCCATCTGATAAAGCTGTTCCCTACCAGGATAACCACTCATCTTGTATGCCCACAATGCATGTCTTTCATCAAGAGGCACCCAAATGGAATGAGTATCAGGTAGCCTTTTTCTGGGGTTATAAACTGGTGTGCAATTGCGGCCATTATAGGGTTTTGAATAATTTTCTATTTGATAATATCTTGTTGCTTGGTCCTATGATATTTCACCCCTTTCGACTAGATTTCTTTAATTTTGTCAGCAACACAAGAGCTTGCTGCAAACATATGCTCTCTGTTCACATTAAAACATAAGACTGTAGATGAGTTACGAAAGATGACTGCAACCAGCCTAAAGCCTCTCCTAAAAGCAATCCTATTAGGTTCTGCAGAAAGCAAATGTTAAATCTTTGTGAGGTGATTTTTGGAAATGGAGCCCCCTTGAAGACTAAATGACCTCCTGTTTGCTTTTCCACCCAAAAAACAAGAGTGATTTGTGCTTGACATCCTGCAAATATCTCTTAAGTGGTTGGGCACTTGCATGCCCAGGTCATCCACACGGGCTTCATTCCCGCTGCTTGCCCCCTCTCATTAGGTTTAGTCTAATATATTGATGTTGTTGTGTTTCTCAAAAAGGAAAAAAAAGAAAAAGAAAAGTGGCCTGTAACCTCTCTGGCCCTTGTTTTTGACATGTCATGAAGCTTATTTTTAAGCTGTTTCTAGCTTTCTGTGTGAAAAATTGGTATTATTGGTCAGCCAGGGTGGGAATGTGGGTTCTATGGTAAAATTTGGAATTCTAGAAAAGATGCAATCCAAACATTAGAATTGACTATTTTCACTGATTTTTGTGCATTAAAGAATATTAATAGTCTAATACACATAATTAGCATTCTGGATCCTGATTACTGCTGCCAGGCTGAGCAAGGGTTTTTTTTGTTGACAGTCAAATCATTATTATGGTACCACTCCATTTTCTCATTTTCCTTATCAAGACACATCCATACCCCAACTGGGAGTTGAACCCTACACCTCTCCCTTTGGCAGTGGCTGGAGATACCACTCTTAACTAAAGCTTGTGGTAATTTCTTGTTTATGCTAATTTCAAGAAAACTACTTAAAAATAGAATAGATATGGGCTTTTATTGGAAAAAAATATTGGGTGTAATAGTGATACCAGGATGGTTTCGCCGGCCAATAAAATTTCACAAATGCATTAAGTAGTCAACACTTGTCTCCCACTAACCTAACAATGTTGTGGTCACTACCTCAAATCAAGAATGCTCATTGGATAATGTTTACTCCTTTTACTAACACTTGACACTTGTGTTCTTGCATAATGTTTTGATAAAGTAGTATCATGTTGAAGCATGCAAGTGGTAAACTTCCTATAATTATTGACTTCAACTTTGCCTGTGAGGCAAGCATGGAGCGAACTAGGGGAAGAAAAGGAGATGGAATCACAAACATTACGTCCCCTCAGCCTTAATGTTAAATCCAATCATGTGTGATAGTACAATATAGAGTAATGGTCAATTACTATTTATGCCGGAAAATGTATCATCATTTATGCTTTTATTTTTTATTTAAGTCTCTTCTCCATGCACGTGTATGTGTCCGCTTGCATGCATGCCTATAGGCTTTGGAGGGATATTGAGTTGATATTTTTCAATAGACATTACTCTCCCCTAATACTACCCATCCTTCATTTGGTAGGCCCCAAATTTTGCAGAAGAAAGAATAGGGCATTCGCATTCAGCTCCAGCAGCAAGGAGCTTTACAAAGAAAACAGATATATTTAGCCGGATTGAAGAATTCCCTGAACGACCAGGTCAACCTGAGTGCAGTTACTTCATGAAAACTGGGGATTGTAAATTTAAATCTGCATGTAGGTATCACCATCCCAAGAACCAAGCCCCAAAAGAAGATTGTGTTCTGAGTGACAATGGCCTCCCTCTAAGACCTGTAAGTCTGCTACTTTATTGCTTGTTGGTTGTGGCAACATCATCATGTATAGGATATTAAAATCTTTAAAGTTTTTCTGTCCCACGTTTCTAACTAATGGAGTGTCTCAACAAGGGAATTTCTTTTTTGGATAAATGAGTGTTTCAATATGAGACATTAAAAACAATTAAAAGATATTTTGGGTGTCAAAGTGTACTTTTCAGTATGCTCTTTGACGTCTTTGGACATGAAAATTTGGTGCTCTCTGAGGAGTCGTATTGGATTTGGTTCACACTGTTGAAGAATATAACTGGTGTATCTTTTGTTCTTATTGCTGTGTTTTGTGTCCAAATAGAAAATATTTGAACATGAAAAAACAATACATGATTATGTTGTGTTTTGTTTATGCCATTCATGATTATTTTTTTTATCTTCTGTCACTTCATCCAGGGCAGGAAAATTTGCCGGAATTATGACCAGTTTGGTATTTGTAAGTATGGGCGTCTCTGTTTGTTTGACCATCCGGTGAATCACAGTTCAACTGTTCCAGTTGGGTCTGTTTTAGAGTCTCCTCAAGGCGGCAACTCTTGGAGGGACTACAGCAGCTGGGATTGAGGCAAGGCTATAATCCAGCGTTCTGTATAGAATTTTGGTTCTATATCCCAAATCCCAGCCTACTTATTAGGAAACATTAAAATTTTTTTTTTGCTTTAACTTGTTACTACCCAAGCTGATGTGCATTGGATGGATCTTTCTTGCCTACTTTAGAAGTCTTTATAATTTATGTGCTCTTTATGAATTTAAGGCTCTACAAAATTACATGTAGTTCTTATCATTTTTGGTCAGAGAAATTGAGCTAATTAAATTATCAGGTGAGGCTGGTTAGGGCATGTGCAGCCTGCTCGTCAAGTCTTGAGTTCAAACTCTAGCACCAGCACCCTCCACCCCAGGATATGTAACGATGCTCTCTCCCTTGTACTAGAATAAAAATATAAGGGTGAAATAAAAAATAAATTCATGTGATATCTATCTTTTATTGAGAAATATATTGAGGTTTCGTTGATCAATTTTGTCTCCACCTTTGGCTTTTTTTTTTATTTTGTTTTAAGGTCTCAGTCTAGATCGCCTTGAAGATCGCCAGGTATGTTTTGCTGCTTTGCTTTCTTTATTACTTTATATCTCTATTGGGCTTCTTTAATGGTGGAATAGCCTTCTTTCTCTCTTTTGTTGTCTTCAAAAAATCGACTGCCTCTAGTAGAATTAGATGATTGAAAACATCATTAAATGGACAAAAATGGCAGTAAAACACCTAATGACGAAAATTGTAGTAAAATACCTAGAATGTATTATATTTTTTTCACATACATTTTCTCAAGATAAATTACCAATCTCACAACCAAACATTTAAAAGAAGAAAAAAACACGAAACCTTGTGAACGTCTATTGTCCCTAATATTTGCTAGCAAATAACGTTGAACTTAATATAATTGAGAAATAAGAATGTGTGAATGAATCGGTGAGGTTCCAATCATACAAAGAGCAAGAAATGCGGTGTTTTCATGTTTGTCGCCTCCCTCCTCTTCCAAAAGAGTACATTATACGAGTAGAATGACCACCTCGTCTTTCCTACTTCTTGAGACAAACATGGCACCACAGAACTGGAGCTTGAAAAAGCAGCAGGGTCTCAGAAACAGCAAAACCACTTCTTGTCCTATGAAAAATAGTTAAAAGTTAACAAATGATGTAAAGAAATCTATATATATATGATAGATACACCCACATATATCATCAGAATGGGATGATACCTGAGAGTTTAGATCTGGTCTTGGTGGATTATTGTCATTCTTTTGCGCTGATTGCGCCCCATTCACAGCATTTCCGTTGGTTTTCTTGTCATCTCTGGCCTTGGCGAATATCACCGTGAAACCATCCGCTGAGGCTGGATTATTTACATCCCACTCACCAAATTTTGGCAATGGCCTACCTCTATCCTCCTGCACACATCAAAATTATTATTACACATTGTCGAGTTAACTTGTGTGGAATTAATTCATTATTGGAGCTATCAGCAAAGCTTAGGAACATATGTAATATTCTTTTCTGCTGTCAGCATGGCATTCATTTTTTATGGAATCAATACTCCACCAGGATGAATGCTGCCACATTGTATTTTGTGTACTTTTTATTTTGTGATAAATTTGTGTTTATATCATTATTGCAACGTATAGCGGTTATCTTTTAAAGAGTCCTGAAACAAGTTCAGTCAGAAACTTATTGAATCTCAATCCGAAACTCCTCTCTTATAAACCCTATTTCAGTTTTTATTGAAACTTGTGTGATGAACATGAAATGAAAGAAACTAGTTCCCTTGAATATATATATATGTTGATTTGTTGTATGGCTAGCTTTTGACCCAAATGCCTTTGTAGCATTGCCCTTTAGCGCATTGAAAAGTTCAGAGAAAAAATGTTGAGATGAAATTGTACATATTTTTTGGCAGGCAAACAGAATATCATAAAATGACGTTTAAAAAATAAAAAATAGCTCAAGACTTGAGATCTTATAGAGACGGAGACAAAGAGAGATCCATGTGCAAAGGAAATTGATGCATTGAGGCAAATGTTGATCAAAGTTAACTAACACAAGTTTTTTTTTTTTCTTTTTTTCTGAAGACTTGGTCCCAAAATAAACCTAGAACATTTAATTGATTTTCGTAGAAATAACATGAAATAGATTTCCATGGAGTTCATCAAAATTTCTAGGAATGTTGCTTTGACCAAACATCATCATCAGCATCATCATATACAAATCATAAATAGTTTCTATTATACAACCAAATTAATCAATCACAAATATTGATCCATAGACAAATTTTGATTTGATATAAACTAATTAAACAATGTTAATTTGAAATGGAGAGAGATTAAAAAAAACTTACAGATGCCATCAAAGGATAGATTGCAGGAGCTTCGCAAAATCGAAATGTCAGAGGAGAGAGAGAGAGAGGACGAAGAAGACGAAGGAGGAGGACAGAACGAGTCTCAAGGAATAGCCACAAAGAAATAGTTGGTTTAATAGACAATAAAAATAAAATAAAATAATTTTGAGAGTTGCATGCATGTAAACACCCCTATTGCCCAACTTATTAATCTTTAAATGACTATAAATATAATTTCCTCGTATAGCAACTAGGAAGGCACCTTCTAAGACCCAATAATGCTAGATTGATTAATTTTGGGTACAATATTTTGATATTATTTGATGGGTTGTTCATGCATTTGTTTAATAATCTATTGATGTAATAGTATTGTGTTAAACTACGGATTAATGATTCTTTGTTTTTAAATTTATGTATTATTGTCCTAATTCATTCTCAATTAATCTTGAATTTTGAAGGACATGAATTTTGTGACATGATTCAATATTTGGAAACAAAAATTTGAAAAAAAAGGGAGCACATGCTGTGTTAAAAACAATTCAATAAAAAAAAAATTAAAATTTTAAAATAAATGATATTTAGAAAAAAAATAAAATACTAAACCACGAGCAATCGATTTTAATTACAAGGTGTTATGCTTTTCTAAAAAATGCTGCTATTATTTGCCCATGTTATATTTTTTTGGACCGCACTACTCTACCAAAATTGATTCCATCAATTTATTGTGTTTTTAACACCCACCACAATTCCTATGAATCATATCTCTCTTTCTTTGGATTCCACTTTGCCATCTCCTTCCTCTGGCACCCTCCATCATCCATCACCTCCAGCAGCCACTCTTCATTTGCCACCCAACCTCACTTCTCCACTGTAATCCTCTCTCCCAACTCTCTCCCTCAGTGCATGATCCTCACCCTTTTGCCGCTACTTCAATCCTAGCCATAACCATTCATTCCTCTTTGAAATCCTAACCTTCATCACAAAAACCCCTCACAGTTTACCATTTCAATTGCTCACCCCAACTCCTCTCCTTTTTTCTAGGCTACACCTTCTTCTTCTTTTTTCTGTTTTTGGGATAGTTATTATACAAAAGTTTTTGGAGCACTTTGGTTGAGGGATTTGAGAAGCGATTTAAAAAGGATAGTTAAAATGTAAATAAAATATACCTACATTTCACTTAGTTTTATACCATTTTTCTCTTTTCCTTTCTAAATTCTTTCCCAAATCCCTCGATCAAACACAGCCTAAATCAATCATGCAGTAAAAAAATTTACAAATAAATAAAATTAACTCACTTTTATTAAAGTAATTAAAAGACAAAAACATCTCATTAAAAATATATTATGATTTTTTATTAATAAATTCAACAATACTTGGTAACCAAAATTTTCATGACTCAAATATCTTAAAACAATGTCATTTTTAATATATTCAAGCCATTCAAGTCACACAGATTCAAGCTACCAAGTATTTTTCAAAAGAATTGGCCTCAAACGAAATTAGTGCATCCAAAGGCCGAGCTTAGGACCTACAAATCAGTAAGCCTTGGGCCCAATTAAAATCCCATGTTGTAGATGATGGGAGCTTACTAATAAGCCTTATACGCATAGTTCAAAATCTATTTAATTTTAAAATAAAATACTTATATTAATTAGTTTTACATATTTTTAATTATTACTAAAAAATATTTTTTTTAAAAAAATAAAAATTAAAGACATTACTACATTTCATCACCGTCGGACTTTCGTCAGATAATCACTGGACGCTCGTCGGAATGTTCAAAATCACTGGAAAGTTGTCGAAACATCGCCAGAAATTCGCTAGAGTATTATCGAAGTATTCTGAACGTCACCAGAAATCACCGAAATGTCTAGAACATTCGCTGAATGTCAATAATATTACTAGAGACTCACCAAAATGTCCAGAATATTTTCAAAAAAAAAAAAATTTGAGAAATTATAGTAAAAAAAATAACAAAATGTGATAAATATTGATAAACTGAAATAAGAAAAATAACGTAAGAACAACAAATATCAACAATGAGAAAAAAATGTGTTGTTTTCAATTTATAGGGTTTAGTAAATAATCTCCAATATTGATCCAATTAGAAGGCAAGTTTTAAAACTGTAAAATGTTAAAGTTTCAAAATATGATTCTGTTAAGTATTTATTATTATTAATCAAATTAAAAAACATGTTATGAAACTGTAAAATTTTACCGTTCTAAATAAAGTTATGAAACTGCAAAGTTTTATAGTTCTAAAGAATGATTCATTTCATCATCAAAAAAATTGAAACTGTGAAATTTTACAATTTTGATCGCCTATAACTAAAACTCGAAAACAACTTGTTTAGATTTTGAATTTTTTTTATTATAACAGGAAAATGGAAGTGTGTAGTATAGAAAAAGTAAAAAAACTGAGAGATCAAAGAAAAAAGACAGATATAAAGAGAGTCATGTATTCTGGCAACTATTTTAGATCTAGCTAGATCTGATATAGATTTACTCATTTTCGTCGTCGGTTGCTCATCTCACTCACCGTCGATAAATGCGAAGTAAGGAGTCGGTACTTGGTGGTTGCTAGTGAACCCCAATCAATGGTGGTTACAGGTCACCAGTGATTGTAGATTAAAAAGAGAAAGAAAACAAGGAAGGTGTGGTCGTGGTTATTGTTGATATCAGAGAAAAAGAGATAAAGAGAAGAAACAAAGTGCAGAGAAAGAAAAGAAGGAAAAAGGAGCACACCACTTTTGAGTCAATCTAAAAGATTTGGGGATTAAATAGAATATACACTTTTCAAAAGGACTTATGGGTAATTTGCCCGTAAATGATATAGCACATTTTGTGTGGTGTGATAATTTATTTCTTTTTCATTATGGAAGTTGATTGTTTGTAATTGTTGGGTTTGGATTTTATAGATTAATTGTTGGGCTTGGTGAATTATGATTATTAGTTATTAGGATTTTAAACAAATTACCCATAAGTCCTTTTTGAAAAGTATATGTTCTATTCAATCTTAAAACTTTTGAGACGTTCTGTGTCCATTTATCTTCTCATCTTTTCTGACACTTTACTTTTTCTCTTTATCTCTCTTTCTCTGATATCAGAGATGACTATGACCCGGACCCACACTTTTCTTGTTTTCTTTCCTTTTCTAATCTACAGTCACCGTTGATCGATGATTACCATTGATTGGGATTCATCGGCAACCACTGAGCACCGACTCCTTATTTCACGCTTACCGACAGTGAAGAAGATGAGTTTTCGACGAGATCTACATCAGATTTGAATAAATCTACTCAGATCTAGCTAAATCTAAACAAAAAATAGTTGTCGGAGTACAAGTTTTTCTTTATATCTGTCTATTTCCTTCGATCTCTCAATTTTTTTATTTTTTCTATACTATACACTTCTATTTTCTTATTATAATTGAGAAAATTTTCAAATTCTGAACAAGTTGTTTTCGAGTTTTAGTTACAAGCAGTGAAAACTATAAAATTTTACTATTTTATTTTTGTTGGTGCTGAAATAAATTATTTTTTAAAACTATAATATTTTATAGTTTTATAACTTTCTTAAGAATTATAAAATTTTACAATTTCATAACATGTTTTTTAATTTGATTAATAAAGATAAGGGTAAATTACAAATACACTCTATGAGGTTTGCTTAAAATACAGATTATCCCCTTTGGTTTAAAAAAATTACAAATATCCTCTTATTAGAATTTTTTATTTAACATAATTAAGTAAAAAAGTGAAATTCATAATTGCTTTCCAATATAATAATAAAATTACATAAATTATTAATTGAAACATATTTTTAACATCATTAAAAACTGTTTATTGACTTGATGATTTATTAATAAAATGGGCGATTTGTTATGATATTAGAAACATCAGGGGATGGAATATAATTTTCAAAACTACAGGGGCGATTCGTATTTTAATCAAATCTCAGAAGGTGTATTTGTAATTTATCCTAAAGATAAATACTTAATACTTAATAGAATAATTTAAAACTGTAACATTTTATAGTTTCAAAACTTACTTTTAGTTTGATCAATATTGGAGACTGTTTACTTAAATTCTATAAAAATTGAAAATAATATGTTTTTTTGTCATTGTTGTTGTTTGTCATTCTTACATTTTTTTCTTCTTTTAGTTAATCAATATTTAACACATTTTATTATGTTTTTTCATTATAATTTCTCAATTTATTTATTTTTTTTTGGCATTATTTTGGATATTTTGGTGAGTTTTCGACGATATTTTTGATATTTAGTAAACATTCTAGACATTCTGACTACTTCCGGTAACATTCAAAATACTGCGGTGATACTCCGGTGACTTTATGGTGATGTTCAACATTTCAACAAATCTTTGTTAACTATCTGACGAAAATTCAATAGTGGTGAGATAGAGCAGCGTCTTTAAATGTTTTAAAAAAAATTGAATAATAATTAAAAATATATAAAACTAATTAATTCAAACGTTTTATTTTGAGATTACTCTTTAAATTTTTTAATTATGATGAGTTAATAATTTATTTAATTATGTAAATATTTCTCACGGCTATAATTACTCATCCATCTATTGAAAGGGAAGAGAAAAAGAGTAAATTATCAATAGGTCTTAATAGTTAGACTTAATTCTCATCAAGTCTTATTTAAAATAAGTCTTGTTAAAACTGTCGTTAAAAATATTTTTTTTTTAATAATTTTTTACATGTCACTAAAAAATAATAATTAGCGACTGTTTTTTGTCATAATTTTTATAAATTATCACTTAAATTTACATTAATAACTTTTTTTATAATAAATTTTTCACATAAGTTCTATTAGACAATAAATTTACTTATATGGCTTTTAAAAAAAAACGAAAAAACAAAAAAAAACAAAACCACCGAGAACGATTGATCCACGAGCACACCACGCTTCTTGTTGGCCCCCAAACGGCCCAAACCACGCCACGTCATCACCACCTCCCATTTCTCAGATCAAACGCCCCCAATCTCTCTCTCTCTCTCTCTCTCTCTCTAACAATGGCGACTGGTTTGGTCCGTCGAGCAATATCTAGGGTTCAGTCCTCCCCGGCGGCGAAGCTGGTATGCATCCGAGCCCACGCATCGGAGGTCGAAGCTCAACAAGTCGAACCAAAAGCCCGACCTCTCTCCGACTCCAAAACCTTCCAAATCTACCGATGGAACCCCGAAAACCCTAGCAAACCCGAGCTCCAAGACTTCCAGATCAACCTCAAGGAATGCGGTCCCATGGTCCTCGACGCCCTCATCAAGATCAAGAACGAGATCGACCCAACCCTAACCTTCCGACGATCATGCCGCGAGGGAATTTGTGGTTCTTGCGCGATGAACATCGACGGCTGTAATGGACTAGCGTGCTTGACGAAGATTCCAGAGGGGAAATCGTCGACGATCACTCCGCTGCCGCATATGTTTGTGGTGAAGGATTTGGTGGTGGATATGACGAATTTTTATAATCAGTATAAGAGTATTGAGCCCTGGTTGAAGAGGAAGAATCCTCCGCCGGTGACCGGGAAGGAGGTTCCCCAGAGCAAGAAGGATAGGGAGAAGCTTGATGGGATGTATGAGTGTATATTGTGTGCTTGCTGTAGCACATCCTGCCCTAGCTATTGGTGGAACCCTGAGTCTTATTTGGGTCCTGCTGCCCTCCTCCATGCTAATCGGTAATCTTTTTCATCTTCAAATGCCTAATTCTTGTGTTCTATTTTGCTTATATGTGTGTGTGTAGATGTTTGTATTAAGGATTGATTGATTGAGCATTTCAAGAAAAGAAGTATGCTTAGACCATCTCCAATGATTCATCAATTCATCACCAAATTTGAATTTCGTAAAAAAGGACAGTTTTTTTTTTTTTTTTTTTGTCTCCAACGGTTTCATTAAAACAATATCAAATTGAGAATGGCCCAAAATTTTTACCAAACTGAGAATGTTGTGTGACTTTCAACAAAATACTGTTCATTACCGTTGTATTTTCACTACGGAATGACCCAATGGATGTCCCCCGGATGTCTTTCCGGATGACCACCTCAAGTAAAATTGTGCAGATTTTACACTGGGAGGTCGACCCACCGGTCGACTCCCAGGTTGACCCTCAAGCTTGAAAATATGAGGAAAAAATATCAATAGAATACCTCAGTAGCAAAACTGAAGAATAGATCAAAAATTAACCAAACACACACATAACACTCTGTTTGATCAAAAACCCAGATGCAAAAACTCCATTAAATCCGAAATTGATCAACCAATAACACTCTGTTTGATGCAAACACAGAGTCGCTGAAGCTTCGTTGCCGACCAAATGGTTGGAAGAGAGATTTTGACAGAAAATTCCAAAGAAAATTTGTTTGGAAGAAGTAGAGAGAGAGATTTTGGGAAGAGAATAGTGGGTGTGAGATGGTTTTTGTATTGAAAGCTTCCAAACACAACACAACACAACAGCCCCAATTGTTTCAGAACAGGTTTTTCATTTTTTGCATTGGCCGGTCGACCGGTGATTTGATGAAAACTCATATTCTTCCGTTGGGGCATGCGATATCAAATAGAGGAAATCGTCTTTATTTATACTCAAATTTAAAAAATCTGGTGAACCGTTGTAAATGCTCTTAGACTACTAAAGAAGGGCATTATTCATGGTCCAAATTTTAGTTCCAACTTATCATAAGAAATGTCAGCATTATTAACACCTAGACCTAGTATGATAATCTCTTCTAGTATTGTTCTATAGCCACATGATGTTAAACACTTGATTGTAAAAATTTGCATTGCTTTGCAGAATTTATCTTTACTCATCACGTGTCTCTCAAATCACAAAGGAAAAAAAGAGAGTAAATAAACTCCCTTTTCGTAAGAAATGTCCATTTGGAAAATTGGCATGCAGTTATTAGTATTCAGGTCTAATGGCACGTAGAAGTTGTTTCTGTATATAAACATATTCTGCTGGATTGAATTCAAACATCTGTAAACAAACTTGTGTTTGAAAGTTTTGATGTCTTCATTTTTATTCTTTGTTTATTTGTATTGGAGTGTTCCTTTATTGCAACAAGCACATGCTAAAACATTTATATAAAAAAAAAATGATTTTTTTTTCCCCCCTTTGTCCAAGTTATCATACAACCCAATACCCAAGAGAAAGAAAGTAAAATTAGTTGTGGTTCATAGTTGGCTTAGTTGGAGCATGGAGGGTAATTTTAATTAGCCTTTTTTTGCCTCTTCTTGCTTATCAGGAAATAAATAAATAAATAAAAGAAAAAAAGAAAAGAAAAGAATTGTGGAATCATATTTTGACATTGTTGCATATGAGACCCATATCAGGAGTAGCCAAGCAGAAGCTGTTTTTGCATCCAAAGAACGGATACATTTGAGAAATTTCTAATGCTTCCTTGTATTGCTGCTTTCTCCTTTTGTTTCTCATTTGCATGTTTAGGGGCAATATTACTGTGACAATGATTAAGTTATGCTGAGTCCGTCGTTCACACACATGTCGAGGACATGAGAGGGTTACCTAATGCATTTGTATTTTAAGTTCTGCTTAGTATCTTGTTAAAAAGTCTATTGTTGTGGTGGGACATGGAGAATTGAAATGAAGATGAGAGTGATTTACAGGGCTAGAATACTTACATTTTTAGGTTCAATAATGATGATAATCAATATGTGAACATGTGGAAGTTATCAGACTTCATCTGAAGTGGTCTTGCCTTGTTGCACTAAAGCAATATGAAAGTGCAACCTTCATGTGGCCCACATTCCTCTTGAAATAATCACATAAGGTGGTAATGTTCTTTACTATCTGAAGCACGCATCTTTTGTATTGCAGTTATTGAAATTGCAAGGTCATGTAAGAATTGGTTTTTATTTATTATTGCTGCTTTTAGATATCTTTGTTTGGAAATGTTGCTGGTATGGTGGTGTTCATGTTATTGCACAAAAAAAAAACTCTTTATTTCCCCCTATTCACAGATAGTTAGCATGGAACTGAATTTGTTTTGTATTTCTGTTGGCATGTTCAGGTGGATAATGGATAGCCGTGATGAATATACCAAGGAACGCCTCGATGCAATATGTGATGAGTTCAAGCTATACCGCTGCCATACGATATTGAATTGTGCACGTGCCTGCCCAAAAGGACTCAACCCTGGAAAGCAAATTACGAACATCAAACAGCTTCAGCTTTCAAATGGTATCTAAGAAGTGTGATGGTGTGCAATAATTTCTCATTCAGGAATATTATTGTGAAGGACTAGTATTTGTTCAAGTTATAATGTGTAGCAATTTGCGTGAATCGTTTCGTGTACCTTTCGGAATCAAAGGTCTTTGTTTTGAATAAATTTTCATAGAACGTAAGAGTTCTTTTGACTTAACTTGGGTTTGTGTTTTAATAGCAGTACTTGTTTTACAATATATGCAGTATGATAAGCTTATGTACAGTCAGCTTTTAAGAGTGAAGTGGCAAATTGATGTCGGAATTGGGTGAAATTTCCATATTACATTTGTAAGTTCAAAGTGCATACTCAGATCAAACAGTCTTGCTATGATTTTTCTTTATTTTGCATTAAAGGTGTGGTTATTTATTGATCAGGGGCCATTTCCTGAGGTTGGTTGAGTTGGATATAACCTCTGGAGGATTGTATTTTTCAGCTTCTCGTGATAAAAAGTAAAAAATAAAGATTGTCCAAGTTCGAGTTAAGAGGCAAAAAAGTTAAAACACAGGAAACAAAAACTATTTATGAAGGCAGAATAAGAGGCAAAAAAGTTGAAACACAGGAAACAAAAACTATTTATGAAGGCAGAATAACAAAATCTACGGTGAACCAAGATACTGTTCCAACTTCTCCAGGGACTCCAAATTCTCTTTATTATGAAGTGAAGTAAGGGATTTTAGTACATCCAAATATTAAGCTTAACAGAACAATGAATCTCATCTGCATAGCCACCACAAGTATCACAAAATTGCCAGCATCATATGCGAAGAAATGCTATGAAACCATAACCACCAAATTAAATCCAAGGAAAAAAACTAGATTTCGGGTTATTACTAGAACAAGTACGAAAATATACAGATTTCAAGGTCTCCTTGTAAGTCCAAGGAATACAGCAGCCGATGAGATTTGTACCCGAAGATCAGCAATATCAACATCATGACCACCTTCAACCAGACCCCATCGGTCGACCTGCCAAAGAAATTCAAGGAAACATGAAAAGTTGATAGATAAAACAAACTTCAAGAAAACATGAAAAGTTGATAGATAAAACATGCCACGTGTTTTAAATCTGAGGGAAAATAAAAAAGAATGAAGAAGGGCAGAGTTACTAATAGTAACAAGCACCTGCAAATCTTCTTCAAGTCTAATCAACTCAATGGCCTCCTCAATCTGCAATCTTCCCAGGAAGATTCCAATAGAAATAGTTAAAGAGTGTGCTGCCGATGCAATTGCATCAATTGCTGCCAATTCATAGTCATCCATTTTCTTAAGAAGGCTCTCGATGGCATGTACAAGACCATCCTCCTGCTTGCCACCAAAGAAACTGGAGTATACAACTGGCTTAAAGCCAAATTCTGACTCCAACCAGTTAAGTATCGGATCAATTTTCTCCACTTGCCGTTCTGAAAATTCCATGGGGTCAACACAATGGTAGTTTAGCTAACTATCCACTCTTTCTAACCCAAAACTAAAGATATTATATCTAGTGAGCGAGTTTAATTAAGTCATTATATGCTACAGATAAAATTGACCCGTAGGTGTTGTGAGATTTAAAATAAAAATAAAAATAAAAATAAAAATAAACTGCACCTGATTCACAGAGAAGAGGTGTCACTAAAAACTATGTTAGTTTTGCCAAAGTTGAACACAAATTAATGTATGGTACATTAGAGGAATCTAGCTGAAAACTCAAAAGGGTTTAACATGATAAGCAACCATAAAGCTGCTCTTTGGTACATTGACTAAAGATTCATAAGGACAGGTACAAGAGAACATGAGGTGAAATAGGCATACTGCTATGGTAATGATCAACTGAGAATTACACAAGAGAGAGATATGGAGTATCCCAGAGGAAATGGTGGCAGGAAGGGAAGTCAAAGAGTAGGGTTTGCGTTGATGGTAGCATAGGACCATGGCACGGCGGTAGTGGATGCTATTGTTGGTGCCAAAAGTGAAAACGGTGCAGCTGTGAAGGTAATGATGATAGAAGTGTTGGAGACTTGGAGCTGCAAAACAGTTGTGATCGCAGCAACACTTATAAAGCCGTAATTTAAGTGATTGCAAAGTATGTGGTGATACCGATGGACCAATGGGAGCAATGCAGATAACAATACTGTATTAGCAATAATAGTGGCAACAACACTATTTTTAGTTTGGCAGGCTACAAACTGTTTTGTCAATTCAAATATCTTTTTAGTACTTCATTAATCTGAACAAAGGTTCACAATATTCTCGACAACCAAGCCAAGACAAAAGTTATCCTCGATCTCCTTTGGTTTAAAGCCTACATTGGGTAGAAGAGTGAAGTTAAAAAAAAAAATCATGCAATACCCAAGTTCTATTCATATGAGTAGATCAACCCAAAGAGTTGTATATTTTGAATGAAGCAATGCACAAAAACTACTCATTTGATTCAATCACATTAAAAATTTTAAAATATTGGAGAATATTATAATAACAAAGATCCAGAATCAGCCTAAAGGTAGTCCCTCTCCCAAATACCGTGACTTTTTCTAGCTAAACCATCCAAAAAACAAAATTTTCATAATCCGACTCGCTTTCACCATAGACAAAAATAGAACTCACATGAGCATTGGAAGACCACTTAAAAATACATTATTAAACGTAACATTACTTCCAACTATTTATAGTATAAACTCAACAACTTCATGCTGCATCAGTTCTCAAAATGACAAGTTATGTCTCACATAATTTTATTACAGAAAATATTTAAAGAGAAATGCATAATCAAACAATATGTAATTATTGAGGATGGTATGCTTGGCATGAAGATAAGTTCACATACCAAAGACACCACATGTCAGGTCAGTATCTCCGGGAGCACGACAGAAGACCAAATCTTGATGGAATTTCTTCATCAGATGTTCAATTATCTTGGGCCGAGTGAGTGGAACTCTTTCCAATGCCGTGCACGCAAGTTTCATCAAAGGCATTGTAAAGGGTCTGATTCCATCTATTTGCTACAATCACAGATACCAAATTACATAGTCCGAGTCTCCACTCCCATCACGCATAACAGTTCATTAACAATGAAGCAAAAGCTCAAATTAATGAAAAGCAAAAACCATTTGAATTAGATTGCGACAAATCCAAAGTTCACAAACAAAACATTGAGCTCCAATAAATTGAAAGGTACCCACAAAACCAAAATGCACAAACAAAATCACAAATCAATGAAAATTACAGCCTTGTAATAAAATAAAATAAAACAATTACATTGCTATAAATCCAAAATTTACACAAAAAATTGAGATAGAATAAGTTGAAAGGAAAACCATTTGAATTACTTCAAATCCAAAGCTATTAAGAATGCAAAACAAAATCACAAGTCAAGGAAAACCACAAGTTACAACCTTAATTGAAAAAACAATTAAATTGCTACAAATACAAAATACACACATAAAAATTGAGCTAGAATAAATTGAAAGAAACCCACAAAACCATGTGAATTACTTCAAATCCAAAGCTATTAAAAATGCACAAACAAAATCACAAATCAATGAAAATTACTACCTTGTAAAATAAAAATAAAAACGATTACATTGCTACAAATCCAAAATCTACACAAACAATTGAGCTAAACTAAAATTCAAAGGTACCCGCAAACCACACAATTCAAAACACGAAGCAGACGAGAGAGAGAGAGAGAGAGAGAGAGAGAGAGAGAGAACCTGGTATTCCCATTCAGCAGCAATAGCCTTAGCGAGAGCCAAAGTAGGGCACTTGAGAGGCCTCTTAGAAGGGGTTTTGAGGGTTCTATAATCAAGCATAACACTCCAACCATTACCATCATCAGCCTCTCTAGTTGTCACCTTCTTGTAGAATCTCTTCCCCGCAATCGATCCCGTCATAAACGCCATCGGCATCGTCACCGAAGAAGACGACAATTTCGGAGCCCTAACATAGATGCTATCATCATCGTTCGTCTTCTTCGACTGACCTTCTTGATCCGCCGAAAATGTGAAGGCTGAAGGGCACTCGGGTTCGGGTTTTCCGGCGGTGGCTACGGCGGTGAAGTGGCGGTTCTGAGTGGAGGATAGGGTTCTGAGAACGACAAGAGGGTTTATTGATTTTAGGGTTTTTCTCGTTACAGCAGTAGCCATTAGAGAGAGAGAGAGAGATCCACAATGGTCTCGTTTGGGGACGACGGAGCTGGAAAATGGTTACCCGGAGCCCCGACAGGGTTTTCACAGATAGGATAGTTGGGCTGGGCTCCAGCCCATGGACAATAAATATGCATAAACGGGCGGACCCCGATGACTGCCTTCCATTCATTAGGTAAATAATTCAATTTTAAACCGAGCTTGTTAAGTTTTTAAATCATGCTTGAATAATCAATTGGTCATTCAGTTGGGTTTAATAAATTAAAATTATATAAAAATATTTAAGCATTCTACTTCAACTCAATAAAAGTTTGTGTGAGATTAGTTTGTGAAACTCGTTAAAAATTTTAATTCAAGTTTAAATAGTCGGTTTTACGAATTTATCACCTCTACCAAGGGGATTTGTCTCCATTGTTGTTATTATTGTAATTAATGATTTCTTTTGAAAAAATTTTAAAAATAAAGAGGAGAATTTTATGCATAATTTTGACTCTGCTAAACATGCAAAAAATTTAGTTAATGCAACTTCTAAATATTAGAAGGTGTTCGCATATTTTTGTTAAATCTAAGAAGATTAATTTTTGTCAAATTTTAAGAGTGCTTGTAATTTGTAATTTCAATAACAATATGATATTTTCCCTTAGTGCTTTATAAGTGTAAGATAAATTGATAGAGAGAGAATAAATTGTATGTATTATGATTGATGTTTTAAGTGTGTCTTTACAATGTGAAGATGACTCTCCTTTTATAGAAGGGAGAGTGTACAAAGGGGCAAAGAGAGCCGAAAGAAGAAAGCAGAAAGTGTGCACTAAGAAAGCACTAAGAAAGCAACATGATTAAAGCTTGGTAATTTACAGCTAACATATTATGCACTAATATATAATACATATAATATACTAACAATAAGAACCTCTCATTTTGTAAATGGATTTGTGAAACATTACTTTAGAAAGTAGTACATGACTTCCTACCATCTTATTCAGATCACTTGGCACAATTATTTGATTGTTATTAACTCTTTTGGCAGATTTTCCAACTCCGGATAGGTACTAGCCAACTTGAGTTTGGAGAGAGTAACAAAACTGGAAAATAAAATAGGATAGGAGACACTGTATGGTCGTGTCGAACCGTTGGTGAAGACACTGTATGGTCGTGTCAGACCGTTGTAGGAGCTAATCGGAATTAATGTCGGGACAGTTTATGGTATATAACCATGCTTATTAGCTTGGGTGGTTCGCATGGTGTGTAACCATGCTTACCATGATATATGTATAACCCCCCCTCAAACTCAAATAGATGTGAAGATAGAAAACTATTTGAGGTTGAAATAAAGTGAGTGATAAAGGGGATCAAGACAGTTTACGGGGTCATGTCGGACCGATGTAGCAGACACTGTGTGGTCGTGTCAGACCGTTGTAGGAGCCAATGTTGTGACAGTTTACGGGGTCATGCCGGACCGATGTAAAAGACACTGTGTGGTCGTGTCAGACCGTGGGAGCCCAAAAGATAGAGATATATAGATATATATATCGCACCCTCAAAAGTCGTGCCCAATCTATCAAAAGGCGTTAAAAATTTTAATTCAAGTTTAAATAGTCGGTTTTACGAATTTATCACCTCTACCAAGGGGATTTGTCTCCATTGTTGTTATTATTGTAATTAATGATTTCTTTTGAAAAAATTTTAAAAATAAAGAGGAGAATTTTATGCATAATTTTGACTCTGCTAAACATGCAAAAAATTTAGTTAATGCAACTTCTAAATATTAGAAGGTGTTCGCATATTTTTGTTAAATCTAAAAAGATTAATTTTTGTCAAATTTTAAGAGTGCTTGTAATTTGTAATTTCAATAACAATATGATATTTTCCCTTAGTGCTTTATAAGAACCTCTCATTTTGTAAATGGATTTGTGAAACATTACTTTAGAAAGTAGTACATGACTTCCTACCATCTTATTCAGATCACTTGGCACAATTATTTGATTGTTATTAACTCTTTTGGCAGATTTTCCAACTCCTTTCACAAGTTCAGATATCCATAAAATGGTATCATACTGCTGCTGAGTGATGATACCATGCAACAGCTTATGACTTCCCATATTACCCTTATAATAAGGTGTACATATATAAAAGAAAATTGTACATTAAAATCCCATGCCTACTTAGAAAACATTTTCCAAAATCAAGCTGGTCCCAATAATAAACTTCAATGCTGAATATTTGGAGATGTATTCTCATGGGGGTTTGTCATCATTTTGGGATTTGGGATCTGACGATGACTTTTAGTTTTGAAGACATTCTTGGAGCAACTCTTCTTAGTTGAAGCTGTCACTGGAGGTAGTGAGGTTATACCTCCTTGCAATGTGCTACTGCTAGAACTCGGCTTTCTTTTTCCTAGCTTGGGCGGCTGAGGATGTGTCGATGGAGTCTGCAAGATATATTGGGGAAAAAAAACAGAAAAAAAAGTCACGCCAACCCTACGTTGCACTAGTAAAAAACGTCATTATAAAATAAGCTTGGACCTAAGAGATGCCTTTACTTTGTTTATCTGATCTTTTGGTGTTTCTCTTTCCTTGTAAAAATCAGGTAGTGGCCGGGCTTTGAAGCAGAAGCTTTGCCGTAATTTTCTAAGTTCTGTTCCTGCTTTCTCCTGCACAGATGAATAAAATTAGTCAAATCTTATGTATAGATTGATCAAACTGAAGCCAGTCTCCAGATGACTTGGAAGCCCTATCAATACTCCATAAAGTTACATTGCCACTGTCTCATCCTGGGTAATGAAGATGATTATATCACAGTCTATAGAGAGCTTGGAAGTGAAAATCTGACCTTTAATCTTGTCTGTAGCTGCACTTTTTGTGTGTCCTTGGCGTTGAATTTTTCTTCAAGCTTCTGAAAGATTTTACAGTAAAAAGGGAAAACAAAAAACTACTTAACCATAGCTCAGGAGAGAGATTTGAGTGAAGGAAAGAGGAAAACAACTGAGGCAACAAGGCTTGCCTGTTTTCTCCTCGCTGCTCTTTCCTCCGTCCTCAAGCTGAAAGGAGTGGATAAAGTCGGTGACTGCAATTTGTTTCTGCAGGCAGTCAAAGACTTGGCACAACTGGCATAAAAATAGAATTATTAGAGAAACTTTAAAAGCCTGTTCTAATTGAGACCTTCAATTTTGGGCAATATAACATGGATTCTTCAGGACAATCAATGAAAGACACAAGTGACTTTGCATAACTATGTAATTTCTCTTTGTTCATTGTATTATTATATCCCTATAACATGATACATCAATTTATTAGACAGATGGGAACAACTTCAAAACTACTTACACGGCAGATAGGAGATGCCATTTTGGGCCAGTTGTTTTGCTTCCAGAAGCTGAGGGATCAAGTGGTGTTCTATTCCTATAAGTTGCAGATAAAGTCAAACATTAATCAAAGCTTAGATATTCAAAAACATTCATCATTAGTTAATATAGTTCTGAGAACCTCAATGTTTCTTTCTTCTTCTTTTTTAAACCGAGAGAGAGAGAGAGAGAGAGAGAGAGAGGGAGTACCTTCTAATTTCTGAACATGGGGTTGCATGCTTTGATACCCCATTTGCAGAAGCCTGCAAAGAATGAAACCAATCTTGTCATACCATCACAAAAAATGGAATTTATGCTTCATTTGTTTGGCAAAAATCATTTTCTGAAGTTTCTATTGAAAACACTTTTTTTTATTTGATTGCAACCTTCAAACTAATGTGCTTGTGATTGTGGTTGCGGTGATGCTGGCGGGTGGCGATGGTGGGGTATCATTGGTAAAACTTTATAGTCTTTGGAAACGTTGTTTTTTATTTTTGATTTTTTGTAAAACTTTATAAAAAACAAGCTTTTTGGAAAGCTTTTTGGTATCATTCCAAAAAGCTTGTTTTCCGTTGTTTTTGATTTTTTGTCATACCAAATGTTTTTTATACTTGTTTGGCTTGAGTTTTCTGGATTCATTTTTTAGAAAATTGAATTTTTTTATTTTTCATGTTTTCTTGTTTTTGTAAAAATTTTTTAATATTTTAAGCAATTTTTTTTTTTAATTTTTAGATACACCTAATATAAATATGTTTAAAAAGTATAATATTTGTGAAAAACATCTTTAGAAAATTCACTAAATACTAAAAATAATAAATAATAAAAAAATGTAAGAATTCAATAAATTTTTCGTATTCTTGTGTATTTATTAATTTTTTTAAATATTTTTTATAAATATTTTACTCTTTAAATATATCTAAAAATGTATAATAAAAAAAAATTACTTAGAATTTTAAAAATATTTACTAAAAACAAAAAAACATATAAAATAAAAAAACTCAATCTTCAAAAAATTAAAAACCAAACATTCTTAAAAACCGTTTTTGGCCAAAACAAACGGAGCTGTAAGAATAATGAAGCAGCATATAAGTACCACGATTGGAGTCCTTAGAGGAGTTTTGCAATCTTTAGATGCCTTATAAGGACTGGGAGCAACTCTTGAACTTTCAATCCTCCTGCCAGTAGCAGCCGGTTCCGATTCTTTGTCAGGACTTGAATAGATTAGCTCCTTCAGAGATCTTGGAGTTGCTCTCTTTCTATCCATGGAATCATCTGTTGTGGACTTCCTGGTGGCTGTTTTGGGAAGAACTGGAGCTACTGTTTTGGCAGGCGAAGCCAGAACTTTAGGTACTCTCTGGTGAACTGCTGGCTTTGTAGATGAAAATTCTGGTGCAGCTGACTTATTATCTGATTCTTTGGCACTGGTAGAATAGATTAACTTCTTCAGAGAGTTAGAAGTTGATCTGTTTTTATCCATGGATTCTATTGTGGACTTCCTGGTGAGTGGAGTGATAGAAACTACCGACTTTGAAGATGAAATTTCCTGTTTCTTCTTCTTGTTTATCAGCGATGGAACTTCATGATTTGATTTCAAACCCTGCTTTAGAATCAACAAAAACAATCAATTAGTATGACAAATACTAGTTCTATAGCTGAAATCAAAGACTGATCATGGACATCAAAGTATCATCACCTCCAACAATGGCTTCTTCATTTGAGGTGATTCACCAAGCTCCATTTCAGAAACCATGTGATTTGATTTCAAACCCTGCTTTAAAATCAATAAAAACAATCAATTAGTATGACAAACATGTGTGAAGAGATCAAAATCTGATCATGGGTATCAAAGCATCATCACCTCCAACAATGGCTTCTCCATTTGAGGTGATTCACCAAGATCCATTTCAGAAACCATACTCTGTTTCAACGATTCACCAAGCTCATGATTTGATTTCAAACCCTGCTTTAAAATCAATAAAAACAATCAATTAGTATGACAAACATGTGTATCATAGAAGAGATCAAAATCTGATTATGGGCATCAAAGTATCATCACCTCCAACAATGGCTTCTCCATTTGAGGCGATTCACCAATATCCATTTCAGAAACCATACTCTGTTTCAACGATTCGTTCTGAACCTCGTGCCCTGTTACCACCGTATCAGCTACTTTCACCTCTCCAATCTCCAATTCAACATTTGAATTGTACCCATTTCCATTGACAATTGTATCAACCGGGGCTTTGAGCTCGAGTTGCTCATCAACAACAGGCTCAATTGTACTCTGTGAATCATGGGTTTCAAATTCTGGATCAGGGTGGTTGTTGGCGGCGTTGGCGTTAGCTTGCTCGAGCAAGGCTGCGGCTTTCTTAGCAGCAATGCTTTTGTAATGAGCTTCAAAGAAAGCTTTCTTCTGAGCCACTGAACCGGGCTGAGCGTACCTCTCTGCCTCTTCCACGTAGCGTTTGTGAGAGAATGTCGACCATTTCTCCCAAGATAAGGACTCTGACATGAATCTCCCAAAAGAGATCGAGTCCCCAAGAGTATGCATGGGGTTTCCCTGTAAATCACACACACATATCTAATCAGCAAAAAAATTTGAGAAATTTCTCAGAAAGCCAAAACCCATTTCTGATTCGATGGATTTCACTCTGTTAAATCCTGTAGAATCAAAAAAAAAAATTTGAAATTTTATTAAGAATAACAGAACCCATTACACATTTAACTGAATCAACACAACCCTCAAAGAGCATGACATGTCTAATCAACAGAAAATTTGAAAATTTTCTCCAAACCTAGTTCTGATTCAATCGATTGCACCCCATTAAATCTTGTAGGAACAAAAAAAAAAATGAAGAGTTTACAAAACCCATTATACATTTAACAGAATTAACAGAACCCAATTATTAAAATACTAGGAAAGACAGAGAGATATGACCTGTTTGGCTTCATTGGAAATGCCAGAAACATAGGAGAATGAATGCATGAGACAAGCTGATTCTCCCATTTCTTTGCAGTATGAGAAAACTGAAAAATTCAACTTTACTTCAAATTTTATTCTTCTCTGGTCTTTCTTCTCGAGACTATAAATTTTGAAATTCAAAATGTTTGAAGCTTTTTAGGACTATGTGTGGTGTAATTTTTTATGGTGTAAAGAGAAGTGTGGTGTAATTTTTTATGGATTTGTATGTGGTGTGTGGGTCATTAAGGTCCCCACTGGTTTGAATTGAAGCTAATCAAACTTTCCAACGTTCAATTTTTTGAATTTTCAACGGCTTTATGATATCCTCATGATTGTGAACATTTTTTTGGTTGGTTACTTTGAATGGATCTCGCTAATAAGTCTTCCCCGACCTTTTTAATAATAATTAAAGTTTGGTTATCTAGTGCTTTAAGAACAATGTTAACAAATAAGTCAAATTTGCTAACAAATGTCAGTTCTTTATTGTTTAATGTTAGAATTTGTGTAAAAAAACAGTGTTTTGAAAATAATAAAAATATTAGAAACAGTTTTACAATAAGTGAAAAGTATTATAAGATTAGTGAAAAGCTTATTGCGACTTTGCGGCACTTGTAAGTAATCCTTAAAATAATTTTATATTAATGTATAACTATTTCAAATTTATCAACAACTCTCCTTAACAAAATCTATAACTAATATCATAAAATGTATTTAATAAGTTTGAATTAATTTTTTCTAAATAAAACAAACAATGTTTAATGTAACAAGCTAGATTTTTTTTTTTTTTTTTAATTCTATTGTTATCCTTCTACTTAATTATTTATTATTTTTGGTATTTATGCAATTTAATAATTTCTACAATAAATAAAGTAATTAAAAAAATCTTGCATTTAATAATTATAAAAATTTAAAATATTAATTTCCTAATTTTAAAATATAAAGTAGACAATTAAATATATCTTAACGAGTACTTCTAGGATGTATTTGTCAATTTGAATTTTTGGGGAGAAAGAAAGCAACCAACAAATTGGGTCTACCTGTTCTACCTTCTTTGAAAATTGAAGCAAAAGAAATTTGTAGAGTCATGCATTTTTAACGTTCGAATCTGGGTTAAGACTAAGAACATAGAATATTTCCCAAATTTTGTAAAAACCATAGCTAATCTCTGTAAGAACGCTTCTTGTAAGCACTCTTTTTTTGTGTCCCTAGAAAGTTTGGTTGAGAATTGAAGAGGTTGAGATGTAAAAGGCTGAACAACCTGTTGTTGCTACATCACATAACCAATCGAATCATGTGCCACACAGACCCTACTGCTAAACGTGTATCATATGGCGTCCAAGTACTTCACCCCAGTGCTAGTATCTCAACAAGAACCCTATCAGAAGTAAGGCTGAGAATTTCTAACATGACACAGCAGTAGACAAAATTAACGGGTTACGATTGGACAATTTTTCAACACAAAATTGGACAAATTTATCGCCTAAACCATCTTCCTGAGTTGGGTATATCATACTGAGATTGAATGAAAACTGAAAAAGACTGAAAAACCAAACAGGAGACAGCAGACAAGTGCTGTGATAATGAAGTACATCCATGGCCACACAGATGCCAGCTTAAACAACAGCTCGTGCAATTTGCATTGCTGCATCTTTAGTTCAGACATGTCGCATATGTTGTTAGGAGAGAGAAAATTCACTATGCTTCCCACCCACGTATCCTTCGTGTAAGTCAGACTGTGCCACTTGAAGTAATTGAAAGAATATGATGAAATAAAACATTCTTTCATCATTTTCTTCTGGGTGGATCCCGTGTGAGTCCATGTTTCTTCAGAGTTCTAATATAATTTCTCATGAGGGTGAACTTGTTGCTCCCAAGATGATACAAATAATCCCAGGTATAGATCCCAGTTTTATGCAAGTCATCAAAAAGTATCCTGAACCAGCAATCCAAACTTCATTTAAAAATACGCCACTAATTAAATCGAAAGGACTTGAATAACTACTGTCAAGTGAAAGAAACTTCTAAGCCTCAAAGTACCTTACCCCATAGTTCCCTATGGGTTCTGCAGACATGATCCCCACATGACGCCGCCCAAATATCACCTGATTAAAGCACGACAGGCATTGAATCAGTGGACTATTATTGATGAACAATAAATTGATCATGAAAATTAATTTAGTTATTGTAGTCCCATAGAAGTTGGAAGCCAAAGAATCGCAACCCCATAAACAAAAATTCAGTATATGCAGACATACCTAAATATATGTACCAAGGAAAGTTCAAATTAGAAAGCAGCTCAAGCATAAAAAATTGTTTCACAGTTACCTTTTCACCTCCAACTGATCTAGCTTTGCTGTCAGCAGCCGGGCTGTGTGTTCTTAAAAACTCAGCAGACAAATTATACACGTTACCATTGGAAAATTCCACCTCCGCCTGATATGAAAAACCACCATAATACAGATGAGCAAAAAATTATTTTTATGGAAGGCTAGTAAAAAATATCTTTCACAAAAAGCAAAATATACTGGAGATAACATTGTCAACACGATACTTGAACCCATGATATAAATACATTTGTAACCTAAACACTAATAATAACAAATGGAACATCATATTTTCATTATCAAACACTGAAAAAGTCAAAGAGCTTTAACTATCAAGCTAAACTTCATTGTTGCAGCAAGATCACACAGAAGGCCTGGCTAATTCATGCAACCATCTCCCCACTTATGACCCAAGGAAAAAAATCACCTCGTCAACAGAAAATAATAAGGACATGGGTTGACTTCAACAGAATCACCATGACCATCTGTAAGAACTTATTTGCACCTAAAATTTTCAAGTTTCGCCATGCATGCTTCATGACCACACAGAACAGCATGGTTCCCATTGCTCAATTTTTTTGATAAGTTTGGTTCCTATTACTCAATTATTTGAAGCTGTCGCATCAATGCGATTATGCGAAGAATTGGACTAGTAAAGGTAATATTGTCACATTATGGGGCGGACTGGATTAGCATTCTCATGACTAATAGTCCTAGGACAACGAATTCGTTGGATTATGTATCCTATCTTAACTAATAGTCAAGTTTAAAATAATTAGTCCGTATTTCAATTGTTTAACCAAACATTGGATTAATAATTTTATTGGATTATTAGTCCAATCCCAAACTCATGTCCACCCAAACAAACATGACCTAGGGGTAATTTGTCTTCTATATTACTGTCTCACTGAAGTTAGGCCAAGGGGTAACAAGGGGTAATTTATCAACTCTGATACTTGTACAGCAAAATGATGTCAAACCCTGGGCATACTTGGGAGGATTATTCGTCAATATATACAATAATCTACTCCCAATCAGAAAACAAGCCAGGACTGCAATTAGAGGACAAAAATATATATTTTCCCCTTTTTATGCGATATGGGTACTCAAGAATTCATGTGGGTGTGTTCATAAACTAAGACAAATTAGCAGAGAATACACTAAAATGAACACATAAAGAAGCAATTTGAGGAACAAACAACAATTTCACAGCATGAAAAATAGCAAAACTGAAGTAGCATATCAAAAGAGAGGCTTACACTCTTAGGAGCATGAAGAGAAAATCTGGAAAGGCGAGGACACTCGACGCCTGTTTGGATGCTCCGAATCGCTCTGTGTATCGCAGCCATTCTCTCTCTATCTCTCCCCTTCTCTAGTGTGGTGAATGGATTTTTTTTTGGGCCAGTGTGGTGAATGGTTGATTGGGTCATCAATGTTTTGAAGCCCACTATGCTGGGTTTGAAGATATTCAACTTTGCTCAGCTGTTTCGTTATGCCACTAGTTTTTGGGATTTAATTGTTAGTTGGTAAAGGTCCATCACATTAAAGGATTACATTGACAACATTGATTTAGAAACAGATTTAGGTGGCTCTTTGCAATTGAATTATTCATTTGTTCACTTGCTAACTGGACCACCTTAGATTTGAAAGACGATATTGAGAAGAGTAGTATTATTTATGCGGACTATAAATTTCTATTCATAATTATTGTTGAGAGTCATATTCGAAGGTTGCAATTATACTAGTTTGAGGGGCGTGAAGGTGAAGGTGATGGTGCCCCTAATGGATTCATAAGTGGAATGGAAAGTATAATGAAGGAAATACGAATTTATGAGAAATTTTTCCCAATATGATCAAGAGTCCAAATTTTAAGTGATAATCTAATACTTTGGAAATAAGTAATTGAAACATGAAAAAAACTAAATCAATGGAAATTTAGAAACCTAATAATTACAAGATATATTTCATATCAGATTACAAGATATTTAAATAATCCAATGCTTTTACTTTTGATTTATATACATTTTCTCCTACTTTTCAATAATTAGTTTTTCAAATTATTTTTATCTCAAAAAATATAAACAGAAGATGTACATAACAATTTTATCTTTATTTTTTTTAAGAAAAGAAAGAAATATGAACAATTCATAAATTACACCAAACAGGAACAGGTCTTACAAAATTTGAATAAAAAGCTATAATTTACTCCCAATTAGCATTTTTTGAAGTCCAATACCGGCTGGGACCGGGCATATTGAAACTGAGTGAATCCCCGGGCCTGGGGCCCATTAGAACTGAATAGGCCTATTGCCTTACAATATCTACAGGCCCACAATATGGTGAAGTTATTTGGTGATTCTGGGGTAATGGCAACTTGTCAAGTGATGTTCCAAAAGTGTGCTGTGGTAAAAAGTGTAAAACTTATCATTTTAGGGATCATGAAAAAAATATTATGAAGATGATCGTGAAAGATTCTTCACCTTTAAATTATCCATACAATAAAACATTACAAACTAATGATGGGACGAAAAATCTTCATGATGAATTTTATGATATATTTTTCATGATCCCTAACATTATTATTTTGTGTTTGGTTATGAAGAAATAGGAAGGGAGCATAACATTTGGTGATTCGTAGTGCTCTTGGATCACTTATTAATTTTTTGAAAATTTTTTATTTAAATTGATGTTTGAAAAAATATTTTTAAATTAATGAAAAACTTTATAACTATAAAAAAAAAAAAGTTATTAAACTTTTCATAATTAATTTTTGAAGAATTCCCTAATGTATATTTTTTTTAATAATTTTTTCACAATATGAGTAAGTGGATCCCACAATTGTATTCTCCCTTTCATGTCATGTCACTTTTTTTTGTTTTGATCTAATTAATGTATATTTTTTTTAATAATTTTTTCACAATATGAGTAAGTGGATCCCACAATTGAATTCTCCTTTCATGTCATGTCACTTTTTTTTTGTTTTGATCTAATTAATTGATCCTCAATAATGATGATGATAAAATGTTCGTGTAGTGTCGAGAATTGAAAAAAAATTGGCCAACTGTGCAACTTGTCATTAACAGATATATTTTTGACAAATTAAATAATATTTAAAATTTAAATAGTATTTAATATATTAAAATATAATATCTAAAATTTGATGTGCAACATCTGTATATACTTGCCGAGTCTTCTTGCAAAGCTCGCAGCCTCAAAGCTAGGTTTTCTACACAGGGTCCCACCTTGTGACCAGAAGAAATAAGGGGATGTTGTATTTTTTGTCTTTTTGGACTAAAAAATTGAGGTTGAAAATATAGATGTTTGGATTAACTTTTTGACTTTTTATGAAAAAATGTGTAATAAAAAATTATAAAAATTGATTTGTAAGAAAAAAATTCAAATTGGGAGTTGTACAGCCGTAATTGTTGACTTTTGATAAATAGTGTTAACTTTTTAAGTAACTTTTTGTCTTTTTATTTTTTTTTGAAAGATCCCAAACTTACCCTAAGTGGGCCATGAGAACGAACAAGATAATAGATTTTACTAAAAAAAAAACCTTACGAAAAATAGCCCATAATACTGTTATTAATTTTGTAAAATATATTCAAACAATGCATAAAAATATGTTTAAAATTTTTAAGATTATCATAAATAAAAATCTATTTAAAACAAATATATATATATATATTCTTGCACAAATGAGCACGGAAGGTATCAAATAATAATATTATCGAAGAAAAGGAATAAATCATGTCACTTTTTAATACTAGGCAGACCCACCAACCAGTGTCTAGCTTTTCATGTTTGGTTTATTTTCATAATTAATTTTTGAAGAATTCCCTAATGTATATTTTTTTTAATAATTTTTTCACAATATGAGTAAGTGGATCCCACAATTGTATTCTCCCTTTCATGTCATGTCACTTTTTTTTGTTTTGATCTAATTAATTGATCCTCAATAATGATGATGATAAAATGTTTGTGTAGTGTCGAGAATTGAAAAAAATTGGCCAACTGTGCAACTTGTCATTAACAGATATATTTTTGACAAATTAAATAATATTTAAAATTTAAATAGTATTTAATATATTAAAATATAATATCTAAAATTTGATGTGCAACATCTGTATATACTTGCCGAGTCTTCACGCAAAGCTCGCAGCCTCAAAGCTAGGTTTTCTACACAGGGTCCCACCTTGTGACCAGAAGAAATAAGGGGATGTTGTATTTTTTGTCTTTTTGGACTAAAAAATTGAGGTTGAAAATATAGATGTTTGGATTAACTTTTTGACTTTTTATGAAAAAATGTGTAATAAAAAATTATAAAAATTGATTTGTAAGAAAAAAATTCAAATTGGGAGTTGTACAGCCGTAATTGTTGACTTTTGATAAATAGTGTTAACTTTTTAAGTAACTTTTTGTCTTTTTATTTTTTTTTGAAAGATCCCAAACTTACCCTAAGTGGGCCATGAGAACGAACAAGATAATAGATTTTACTAAAAAAAAAACCTTACGAAAAATAGCCCATAATACTGTTATTAATTTTGTAAAATATATTCAAACAATGCATAAAAATATGTTTAAAATTTTTAAGATTATCATAAATAAAAATCTATTTAAAACAAATATATATATATATATTCTTGCACAAATGAGCACGGAAGGTATCAAATAATAATATTATCGAAGAAAAGGAATAAATCATGTCACTTTTTAATACTAGGCAGACCCACCAACCAGTGTCTAGCTTTTCATGTTTGGTTTAATTTTAAAAATATACTGTAATTTAGATTAAAAAATAAAGAAATAATTATTTGGCTAATAAATTTTTAAAACTTAATTTTCTCTCTCCTTTCTTTTTTTTATTATTAATAAATTAATCAATCACTTTATCTTTCTCTTCTTATTCTCTCATATTGTACCCATTAATCAATCAAATTTTCTCTCACATTTTATCTATTCAATTAAAAAAAATTAAAAAAAATACAAATCATCTAAAAATTATTTTTAAAACTCATAACTAAATAAATTTTTAACTTTCAAAACTCTTTTTAATAATTTATTTTTTAAACACAATTCAAAAACTAAACCAAAAGAGAGTTTTTCTTTTTTTCTTCAAATAGATAGTTCAGCTGTGGAGTGGACATCTCCCATCTATTTTTTTTTAGAAAATATTAAATATAATGGTAGTGTCATCTATTAATAAAAGAGTGATGTTACATCTCTTTATATATAATTTTATTATATATTAAATCTATTTTGATGTCTAACGAGGTGGAATAGAAAGAAGAGAGAGAGAGAGAGCATAAAGATGAGGAGTGGGGAGAGAGGTTTCTACATCAGTAGGTGTGGATTAAGAATGTTCAATTAAAGTTTTCAAATATTTTTCTTAATAAAAAATCATAAATCACTAAGGTCAAGTTTGGAAAGTGAAAAAAAAATTAAAATATCAAAAAGTTACTCAAAAAATTAAAAGTTATCACTATTTACCAAAAGTCAAAAAGTATAGTTGCACAACTCCCAATCTTAACTTTTCCCTATACATTAATTTATATAATTTTTTAATACACATTTTTTCATAAAAAGTCAAAAAATTAATCCAAATAATTATATTTTTCCTACATACTAATTTATAGAATTTTTTAATACATATTTTTTCATAAAAAGTTAAAAAGTTAACCCAAACAATCATATTTTCTTCCTTAACTTTTTAATTTAAAAAAACAAAAAATACACTTATTTAAGACACTCCAAACAACTCCTAAATGGGGATGTCTTATATCTCACCAACTTAACACTATTATGATTTTTATCAAAAATTAAGATTGCTTATTGGATGGTCATATTATCATATGTATCACCGCTATATCTAATATTTAATTTATTTTTCAACAAAAAATATTTTCTTACAAAAATAATTTTTAAAAACATATTTTATTTTTCATAAATTTTTTTGTTCATTTATTTAATTGTGTCATGAAAATAATACCCAATTGATGGAATTCTAAACAAATATAAAAGAAAAATGCTTGGTAACTCGAATTTGTGTGGCCCGGATAGCTCGAATGTATCAAAACGGATCGTCATTTTACCCCCAAAATGGCATAGTTCTGATACATTTGAACCATAAAAATTCGAGCTACCAAGCATTATTGAATATCTTGTGCATAGGAATATGCACTATCTTAACAATTTATCTTGTAATCGTGTAGAATGTGCTATATAAGTGCATTTTTTTGACTTTTTGATTAAAAAGTTAAAGATAAAAAATGTATGTTTGGGATAACTTTTTGACTTTCTACGAAAAAATGTATAAATAAAATCTTGTAGCAAAATCAAAATGATCATTTTACCCTTTTGACTTTTTGAGTAGTTAAATTCAAAGGGCAAAATTTTGTGACTCACAAGTTATTCTTGAATAGTATAGATTTTTTAATTTCTTTAATAACTTTTGATTTTTTTAATTTATCTCAAACAAGACCTTTGTAATGTAAAAATGGATATTACAACACACCATGTAAGTTAGGGTTGGTTTGGCATAAACTAAAAAAGTTAAAAAGTCAAAAAGTTACTATGCCTTCGTTTGGGAAGTGGGTTGGCTTTTTGGCTTTTTGACTTTTTTAGCTATTTTAGCATGGGCTAAAAATGTTGGTTTGGGAAGAGTTTTTTGGCTTTTTGACTTTTTGTGTGAGAGGAGAGTGTAATGATTATGGGTTGAATGTAATGTTTTGTTTGTTGTGACTAAAATAGCCTATTTTGTTTTTTGTGACTAAAATAGCCAAAAAAGCTTGGAAACCTTCTTCCCAAACTATTTGGAAAAAACTTGTAGGGGAAGCTTAGAGGTTTCAAATTATTATTTTGGAAGCTTGTGGGGGAGCTACAGGGCAGAATTATTATTTTGCTCTTTTCATTTAACAACCCAAAAGTCAAGAAATCAATAGTCAAAAAAGTCAATAAGGGTAGAATGGTCATTTCGATTTTATTATAATATTTTATTATAAATCTTTTCGTAAAAATTCAAAAAGTTATCTCAAATATAAATTTTTTTCTCTATTTTTTTAATCAAAAATTTAAAAAGTACACTCATTTAAAACATCTCAAACACCCACGTACTACGGTCGAGAGTTTGTAAAGGTATTTTAGTTTGGTGATAATTATTTTAGTTTTTTTTTTTTATATATTTGTGTTATAACAATATCTCTTTATGTAGAAGTTTTTTTTTTTCTATCTTTAATGGCCTTATTTGGAAAATGTTAAAATTTAACTTTTTAAGCTAAAATTCATAAAAAAATAAAATAAATTAAAATAATTAATAAAATAAAATATCGCATCAAATCTTTGATTATTTTTTTTTTTCTTTCACAAATATTACATTCAACTACTACAAAAAAATTTAACCATCTCTCTAACTACAAAAATTTTAATTTACTAAAATAACTAAAAAGTAAAAAACCTACTAAAATAGGTAGTCTGTTTCTCTTTAGGCAGATGTTCTTTTTATCCATTTTGGAAATCTGTCTTTGATGGTCACCAATCACATTTTTATTTATTTTTTTAAAACAAGTCTTAAAATACATATCTGTACATTTTTATAAAATAAAATAAGTTGCAACATTATTAGTGGTTTAAATTTGCACTAACAGTAATGATTGGTATCACTAAATTAACACTAATGTTTATCTTGTAATCGTGTAGAATGTGCTATATAAGTGCATTTTTTTGACTTTTTGATTAAAAAGTTAAAGATAAAAAATGTATGTTTGGGATAACTTTTTGACTTTCTACGAAAAAATGTATAAATAAAATCTTGTAGCAAAATCAAAATGATCATTTTACCCTTTTGACTTTTTGAGTAGTTAAATTCAAAGGGCAAAATTTTGTGACTCACAAGTTATTCTTGAATAGTATAGATTTTTTAATTTCTTTAATAACTTTTGATTTTTTTAATTTATCTCAAACAAGACCTTTGTAATGTAAAAATGGATATTACAACACACCATGTAAGTTAGGGTTGGTTTGGCATAAACTAAAAAAGTTAAAAAGTCAAAAAGTTACTATGCCTTCGTTTGGGAAGTGGGTTGGCTTTTTGGCTTTTTGACTTTTTTAGCTATTTTAGCATGGGCTAAAAATGTTGGTTTGGGAAGAGTTTTTTGGCTTTTTGACTTTTTGTGTGAGAGGAGAGTGTAATGATTATGGGTTGAATGTAATGTTTTGTTTGTTGTGACTAAAATAGCCTATTTTGTTTTTTGTGACTAAAATAGCCAAAAAAGCTTGGAAACCTTCTTCCCAAACTATTTGGAAAAAACTTGTAGGGGAAGCTTAGAGGTTTCAAATTATTATTTTGGAAGCTTGTGGGGGAGCTACAGGGCAGAATTATTATTTTGCTCTTTTCATTTAACAACCCAAAAGTCAAGAAATCAATAGTCAAAAAAGTCAATAAGGGTAGAATGGTCATTTCGATTTTATTATAATATTTTATTATAAATCTTTTCGTAAAAATTCAAAAAGTTATCTCAAATATAAATTTTTTTCTCTATTTTTTTAATCAAAAATTTAAAAAGTACACTCATTTAAAACATCTCAAACACCCACGTACTACGGTCGAGAGTTTGTAAAGGTATTTTAGTTTGGTGATAATTATTTTAGTTTTTTTTTTTTATATATTTGTGTTATAACAATATCTCTTTATGTAGAAGTTTTTTTTTTTATCTTTAATGGCCTTATTTGGAAAATGTTAAAATTTAACTTTTTAAGCTAAAATTCATAAAAAAATAAAATAAGTTAAAATAATTAATAAGATAAAATATCACATCAAATCTATGATTATTTTATTTTTTTCTTTCACAAATATTACATTCAAGTACTACAAAAAAATTTAACCATCTCTCTAACTACAAAAATTTTAATTTAGTAGTTTTCTCTTTAGGTAGATGTTCTTTTTATCCATTTTGAAATCTGCCTTTGATGGTCACCAATCACATTTTTATTTATTTTTTTAAAACAAGTCTTAAAATACACATCTGTACATTTTTATAAAATAAAATAAGTAGCAACATTATCAGTGATTTAAATTTGCACTAGCAGTAATGATGAAAAAAAAAAAAAAAATACAACAACATTGAATAAATGAATAAAATTTACTATCACATTATTAATGCTATTACTAGTTAGTGGTCGCAACATGATTGTTTGCACCAGAAGATTTACAGGTTAATTGGATATTTTAATTTTAACGACCAAAACACGATACCCGAAAGACGAAGGGTACCGAACACCGCACCGCACCAAAATAGGTGTGCAACTGACGCCGTCTCATTTTCTCTCTCCATCTCTATCAAACCCTGTAACAGCTCCGATTTTCTATCTCGCCAAACACAATCCAAACTTGTCAATCGAGTTTTCGAGAGCCGATTTGAAAGAGAAAACAGAGCAGAGCAGAGCAGTATCGACTCCACCTCCTCTATAAGGTGAAGAACAATCTCTCCCATGAATGACCAGGTAGCGAGTCTTTTGCCATGAAAGATCGCAGAAAACGTGGTTTATTGCTATCTTGGAACAGGTTCAAGTTCTTCCGATACACACTCCTTGTCGTCTTCTTCGCTGGTTTTGCTTTCTCCACTTTTCGTCTCTTCTTTAGAGGTAATTTATTTATTTATAAACCCTTTTCTTCTATTTTTTTTTTCTTCTTTTAAACCAGTTTTCATGATTCATTATTATTTACTAACTAAAATCTTGAAGAAAATTTCTCTTTTCTTCACATCTTCAGTTTTCTCAGAAATTTGAAATTTGTTTTTGGGATTTTGAATTTCTGTTGAAAGATTAATCTTTTGAAATCAACTTTAATCAAAAAATTTAATTATTAACAACTTTCTTTATTTTAATTTTGCATTTAAATATAGTTTACGTGACTTATTTATTAATATCTTGAAATTTTCTGTTTATTTGTATCTTTTTAAATAAATAAATATAATTCCATTTTCGGTGTTCTGTTAAATTTGAGTTTATGTATAAAATCCTTTTTGTTTTCCGGATTTTGAAATTCTGTTGAAAGATTAATTGTAATAAAAAAAATTCTAATTTATTACTAACAGTTTTCTAAAAAATGTTGGATTTAAATCTAGTTCTCATGATTTATTTACTTTTTAAGTTTAAATCCCGAAAATTTCTCCCCAAATTTGAAATTCTTTTCCCATAGTTTTCGGGATTTTGAAATTTTGCCGAAAGGTTAATCTATCTTTTTTATTTCTTTCTAATTAATTCTAATTAAAAAATGTTAATTATTAATACTAATTTTTTTAAAAATTTCAACAGATACGGTTCATCCACAACTAGTCTCATCATGGCAGACTCCGGCGATGAACCTTGTCTCCGGCGAGTCTCCGGCGATATCTGTTAAAGAAACGGTTATCTTTCCAGACCAGGCTCTAATTTTCCTAAAATACCCTCCTTCTACTCCACTATTCACCAAAGACGCCATCGACTGTGTTTACTTCTCTCCCAACTCATCCACACCACAAACAAAACTCTCGCCGATGTCCATCGACGGTGATTATCTCGGTCAGCAGATCGTACGGTGTCCGCTTCATCCACGTGGCTTCACTGTCTCCGTTGATGTGAGATCCAACGGCCACCTTTCGGTTGGGCCCACTCACCGCTGGGACTGGCTGGCTTATGAGGCAATCATCGACCGCGACAACACCACCATAGTTTTCGTGAAGGGCCTCAATCTACGGAGCGGACGAGCCTCGGACCCATCAAAGTTCGAGTGCGTGTTCGGCTGGGATTTCACGAGACCAAAGTTTTTGTTCCGATCAGAGGTTATATCCGTAGCTCAAGAGATCGTACGGTGCAAAACCCCTTTGAGTATATTGAGTGGGTCACAGATGGTTAATGACTCAATTAAGGTCTCGGTTCGGGTTACCCGGAGAGGCATATTGGATTCAGTGGCCTGGCCTGATAATCGGGTGCCCCACCCACCAGCTAGGAAACAACATGAGGTGTGTGTATGTACGATGTTACGAAATCAAGCTCGATTCTTGCGTGAATGGGTCATGTACCATGCCCGACTTGGCGTCCAACGTTGGTTCATTTATGACAACAATAGTGATGATGATATCAGTAATTTGATCGAGTCATTAGAGGATGTTGATTTCAATATTACCCGACATGTGTGGCCTTGGATGAAAACCCAAGAGGCTGGGTTCGCCCATTGTGCGCTACGGGCTAGGGATTCGTGTGAGTGGGTCGCGTTTATTGATGTCGATGAGTTCTTACACTTGCCTTCAGGCTTGTCATTGCATAATGTCCTTGAAAATCAATCTAGGCCTAGTGAAGTAGCTGAATTGCGGGTCCAGTGCCATAGTTTTGGTCCATCCGGCCTCAAACAGGTCCCGGTAAAAGGGGTGATGGTCGGGTATACATGCCGGTTGCTTGCCCCGGAAAGGCACAAGAGTATAGTCAAGCCAGAAGCACTAAATTCCACACTAATCAATTTGGTTCACCATTTTCACTTGAAGAGTGGGTTTAGGTACTCAAATATGGATAGAAATGTGATGGTGATCAATCACTACAAATATCAAGTGTGGGAAGTGTTCAAGGAGAAGTTTTATAGAAGGGTGGCAACTTATGTGACTGATTGGCAACAAGAAGAGAATGTTGGGTCCAAGGATCGAGTCCCGGGTTTGGGGACTAAAGCCGTTGAACCACCCGATTGGTCTAGACAATTTTGTGAGCTTGCTGATACGAGTCTAAAGCATCGGGTTCTAGAAATGTTTAGTGACCCGCAAACCCAGATGTTACCTTGGCAAGAGAAGCAACAAGATGAGGAAGAAGAGCAACAAGTTTCAATTTTGGTTGAGCAGAACAAGAAAAGGAGAGTAAAGAGTCTTGCAACAGTGCTCTTGTGACCCATGAGAGACTTTCTTTTTTTAATTTAAATTGTTTTTTATTTTATCAAGAAAAAAAGATGTTCTGAAGTGATATCACTGTATCCGTAAGCTTAGGTTTCAGGGTAATCGGTTACCGATCTGATTTAACCTAATCCATAAAAAGAGACCCACCACCCGGTAACAATGGGCCTAATTTAAATTGTTTGATGCTGTGATATAGCATGCAGAGAGACGCAGGGATTAGTTGATCATTCTTTTGTAGATAAGATTAAGAACACAAAAATGAAATGGTTGCGGTGTGCATTTTATGATTAATGTCTCTATCTAGACAAAAATGTTGCTACAATCATTTGATTATTTTAATATTAATATTGTGAGGGGCACCTGCTACATGTTTTGACAAAGGACACAACAACAACCTGTGCAACAATGGATATGGTTTTTTTTTTCTGTTTTTTTTGCTATATGGGCTTGTCCAGTACTAACAACCCAAAGAAGCCCACTAATATCCTTATCCTAGTAAAAGCCAGTTTTGGAAAGTATTTTTTTTATAGTGATTTTTTAATTAAAATATGAAGTGGAAAAAAAAAATTTGAAGAATTTTTCATTTTTTACAACAAGAAAAAAGAAAGTGTAAAAAGTAGAGTGAATAAAAGAAATTTTTATTTTTTTTTTGTATAAATTAAAATTTATTTTAAAAATATTTTTAATAACTTTTTAATTAAAATATGATATGATCAACGGTCAGTAAGTGGGTGCAATTCTAGGGATCACGGGAAAAATTCACAAAATTTGTTATGAAGCCATGTCTCAACCAGCACAACGTAGGATAGACCAGTTCCTTGACTAACACGACTTTGAGGCTGATTTCGTGGAATAATTTTCATCAAGCCTAATATTATTGAAACAAATAAGTTATTAGAAATCAATTCATATAAAATTTATTTTAAGATTAATCTCAAATATAAATAAGTCAAATTTAAAATAATTTTTCAACTAAAAAAAATTTAACTTGAATTAATTTGATAAAGTAAATTGCCCAATAAAAGTTAAAAATATAACTAAGCAAACCTATCAAATTTGGCAAATAATAGACTCAATTAAGAGAAATTTTAATATACATGTTTTCAAAAATGATGTACTATATGCACTCTTAATTATGTCATTTTTTTTAGTTATGATTAATTTTCTTCTTTAGTTATAACATTATTTTAATTTTGATTTATGAATTCTTTGATTATATCTCATCTTGTGTTTAGTTATGAATTTTTTTTTTATAGTTATAACTCAAAAAATTGAAATTTATATATATTTTAATTATAAGGTGTATATGAAGGTCTGCAACCATAGTGTTTCCCATCAATTAAAACTTATGGAGAATTCTATTATACATATCCTAATATCATATGCACCCTTAATTAAGTCATTTGCTTCTTTAGTTATGATTATTTTATTTTATTTTTTAAATTATGACATTATTTTGAAATTTTAGTTAAGGTTTTTTTGTAGTTGGTTATGACTTTTTTAATTTTTTTAGTTATGACTTAAAAGGTATGAAATTATATTATTTTCTTTTATAATTATAAGGTGCATATGGTATATATCCTTTGAAAGATACCTACCATATTCAGGCCTATTATGGCAATTAAAAAAAAAAAGTCAACTTATTAACTTATTGACTTATTTAGGTCCCATCACATACTCTTTTATACATTTTTTTGAAGAAAAAAAAAAAAAAAACCTAAAAAAAGTCCCAAAAAAATTATTTTCTTACTTACCAAAAAGTAAAAAAGTTAATTTTTTTTCTTACTTTCCAAACGAAACATAAGTTATTATTTGATCATCATCATCACCACCGCGACAAATCACAATCATTATTTGATCGACGGTTATGCAAACTAGGACCCAACCTAAAGTTGTTTGCCTAGTACACAACCACTTCTTTACAATCCCCGAAATCATAGCCGTTGTATCCGAAACATTCAAAAAATTCGACCGTTGTAACCATAACCATTTTACAGAAAAAGAAGGCCTTTTCTTCAAAGAAAAACCTAAACAGAACAGAACTCAAAAATGGTGAGTGAAGAACCAAAACAAACCCCCCAAAACCCAAAACATATACTTTCAAAAGAACCAGAGGGAGTCGAAAATTGCGAGAAAGCTGAGAGTATGTTGAGCCCTGGATTTAGATCAGTGGTTGCAATGGCCGGTTGGGACGAGGAGGCGCTTGTGATCGCAAGTCTCGTCGTCGAAGACACGCCCGATAGGGATTCGAAACACCAGAAGCGATCCGATCCCCTGTTTAAGTCTCCACTCACAAATTCAAGAAGGTAAAATCATTACTCTGTACATTTAAATCCAATTCAAATTCAGTTCTTGTTTTTGTTTGTACAAGTTTTTATTTGGGTGTTTCAGGAAACGGAGGGCTCAGAGGAGGAGTCCAATTTCAATGGCCGTGCCTGTTCTTGACCTTGATGAAGAACAAACATCAAGAGAAGGTATTGGGTTTTTGGGTTTGATTTGATTTGTTTTATTGGATGCTCTGTTTCTTGAATTCATATTGTACTAACAATGGACAGAGGCAGAGAGCGAGAAGAATAAGGCGAGATCGAAAACTAAATCAAAAGAAGAGAAGAAGAAAATGAGAGAGGATGAATTGCCTGAAAAGGGCATTGGTGTTTCTTGCTCAAGCTCGAGTCTGCCGTGTATGGATCGACTTAGGGAAGAGCTTTCTTGTGCGGTATATAAGTGTTCTAGCTACTCTGTATCTCACAATTTTAAAGTTTTACACTATGTTTGGTAATCTAGAACAGAAAAGAAAAGAAATGATTAGGTTTGGTAATCAAAACCTACTGGGTTTGCTATAATTTTGATTGGGTCTGGTTGATTTGACAGATCTGTTTGGAGATCTGCTTCGAACCCAGCACCACTCCTTGTGGACACAGGTAAAAGACAATTTCAGACACCTTTTTTTTTTAGTCAAATATATGTTGTTTTAAAACAAATTCTCAAACCTAACTAGTTTTTAACTTATTTCCTAAGCTCAAGTTGTTTTATGAAGGCGCTTTTTTATGACACAAAAACGATTTAGGATAAAAAAAACACTTAATGAAACAACTGGACTTGGGAAATAAGTTTAAAAACTGACTTGGGTTTAAGAATTTTGTTTTAATACAATCTGTACTTCATAATAAAAACTTGATCTTTTTCAATCTTACGTCTTTTAAAATTGAGTACTTGTCCTCTATTCTGTAGTTTTTGTAAGAAATGTTTGCGATCAGCCGCTGACAAATGCGGGAAACGATGCCCAAAGTGCAGGCAGCTAATCGGGTATGTTATATATAGCTGTAATTTTAATCTAACTATCTGATGATCCAATAAAAAAAGGCTTATTATATGTACTTTTTCAGCAATGGAAGATCGTGCACGGTGAACACAGTCCTTTGGAACACTATACAGCTTCTGTTTCCACAAGAAGTCGAAGCAAGGAAGGCAGCAGGAGGCCTCAATCACCGAGAATCTGAGCATCAAAGCTCTGAAAGACGAAGCTATTATAATGTGAGGAACCGGAGTATTCAAGCCTTAAATAGTCCAGAACCCGAAAATTCACATGGTTTGAGGATTCAAAGTGTTCGATCTTTGGGGACATCAAGCAGAGGAAATGACAGAGGGAGACGGATAAGGGGAGGGCCGAGCCAAGATGAGGATGCTGCATTGGCTCTGAGGTTGCAGAGAGAAGAGTTCATGGAGGCTTTTAGGGGATCTGATGAGCAATTTAGTAGAAGCTCTTTTAACTCAGCTAGAGCAAACTTGAGGGCCATGGCATCTAGGGCTGTTGACATTAGGATTAGACGAGGCCGGCCAACATAGATAGACTCTTCTTGTCTTGCTTATTATGTTTTGAATCTTCATTTAACTGGATATTGTTTTACATTCACCCATTTCATGATGGTGACGACACATGAGAGAAATATTTGTAGCTTATAAGAAGTTAAGTTACACATTAGGTTTCCCATTTCATGATTTTGTTGTGCCTTTCTGGTTCTAGTTGATTCTTTTACCCTTGCGTTTGAATTTCTTATTGCCTTAGTTGATTCTTATTGTATTGGGATACATATCAATATTGATGAATAATATTGGCAATGGAAGACCAAAATTTTGATTTGTAAGTATTGGCCGATATTTAAAACACTAGATTTATCTTTACTAACGCTTTTTGTGCCGACTTGAACTAATTATAGAGGCATCTTTGAGCTTGGGGCAATGACTCAGCTAGTGAGGGTTCTAACTGAGGCGAGTTAATTTTCTAAATGGAAACTTCCTAGTGATTTACAGAGTTGCATGATGGGGTTCTAACTGAGGCGCTTCTTGTCAGTCTTGTAACCTATTGATTCAAACAACTGATTACAGAGTTGATCATTCGGGCCTTTCAATTCATAGTTCTCAGACCTATGAATGGGGATATTCCCAAAATTCACAAAGAAGAAAGGAAAGGAATTAGACAAAAAGAAAAACAGCTTGGACAAAAAAAAGAAGTGCATATGTGAAAATTCACAATATTTGACATATCATATGCTTTAAAAAGATTGGACAATTACAGATTTTGATCCATTTAAAATTTGAGCATTTTGATCTTGTCAAAACAGGCTAGCACAGTTATTATAAATATGGATTGTCACTATCAGCAGAAATCAATGTTCATTGCACATCACATTGGACATGGTGAGGGCTTAACTTCATCAGCATGTCTCCTTTCCACTTCAAGCGACTTTCTTGTCCTTTTGTGTGTAATTTGCTTGGCAGTTTTCATATGATCACACCTATGTCACTTTAGCAGTCTTAGACACGCCTGGTCTCAAGATTGAGAGTGTTGAATTCGCGTGAATTCGCCCTATGTTTCATTTCTTAGACCTTATTGTGGACGCAGAGGTGGTGTTAATGAAGTTTCTGCACTAATAAACTAGTGATATATCAATTTTTAAGTGAGCGGTACATACATATGCACAATGCATAATGCAAACAGAATCAATTCAATCAATTATAAAATAATGAGTGTGCTGTTGAATTAAAGTCTGTTCTCATGTGAATTCTTAGTTTACAGGTTGGTCCTTTGATTAATTTATGTTTCAAAAAATGATAAGCCATTCTCAGCTTTACCTAACATGTTCTAGACAACATGTTCCCAATCTCACTTGCCAAAACCCAAAAAACAAAAAAAAAATGCAGATAATATATTTACAGAAAATCCATTAAGATTACAGTTCTAAAAAGAGTGTAGGTGAAATTTTCTGATGGATTATAATTACTCATTAACGCGTCTTGACTCCTTTAGTGTTCTTTCAATTGGAAAAAATTTCATGGAAATAAAAAATCTGTCTGGGGTTAACTGCTCAGTTGACTTGATCAGCCGCTCTCACCCATAGCCATGTGTAGTAAGTAAAGTGTATAATTAACAGAGATTTGGCCAGTTCACATCCATGATCACTACTACCTGGGTTCTTCACCTTCCTCCTCAATGAAATGCTTGCTATAAATCCAACAGTTCTCCACACACAATGCACCAGTTGCTCTCTCTACTACTTTTTTTTTATTGGCTGCTTTCTCTCCTCTTGAAAATGGCAACTGCAAGGCCCTTGGCTCCATTTGCTGCTGTTTGTGTGATTTTCGCAATGTTGGTATTGGCGGGCTTATCCGATGGGACCCACTCGCCCACAGCGGCCCCAGCTCCCTCTCCTCATATTAGCCCCTCTGGTGGGACCACCCATTCTTCTGCCACTGCTGGCTTCCCCCCTCATTTGTTCGTGTCTACACTATTCGCTTCCTTCTGTATCTGTTTGTTCTACTAGTTTTTGGTTTTTTTTTTTTTGGAATTGTTTGCTCGGATTCTGTTGTGTTTATGCCTTTGTCGCTGTGCTCTCTGTGGGTGATGGCTGTGATTTGATTTTCTTGGTCTGATTCTGATATTGTTTTGTTTCATAAAAAATTTGATATATTGTGGAATTGATCGAGTTTATTTTGATTTTTTTTGTTCTCATCAATTCTTATTTCTTCTGAATTTCCTAGAATCCATACCATAAACTTGCTTTCAAAAACTAAAAAATGAAATACTGTTTCATCTAAACTGGAAAAACACTTCATAGATTCAAAAGAAGCAAATACACATCAGTTCATAAACCATTCATTAGGAATCGAGTCGATTCAAATTCAAAGAAATGTAAAATAAAAATAAAATAAAATAAAAATTGCATGATGGTACGATGGAACATGAAAATATTATTTACTCTTCTTAACTGTAAATCCAACTACCGGTTACATGGCCTCGTCGAGTTGTGGAATTTCAGAGTAATGCATTGCTTTTTCGGTACCCATAATGAAACAAAGTTCCATACTCACAAATTCTGATACATCAGAACTATCAAGAACCATCTTTATCTATACCTTGAGCTTTATGTTGCAATCTTTATGGTCTTGAGAAGAAGAAGCTCGTTGAAGGAATATGGTACTTTCAAAAATTTCAGCTTTGAATTTTGCTTACTACAAATAGGTTCAAAGCAGAGCACAACTTGATGCCAAGATGACAAGGCAGTTGAACATTCTTGAGTCATTTTAGTGGCCAAGTTGGGGCTCCACAAACCCCCTCAAGATCACTACAAGAAAAAACTCACTCCCTCAAAGTTCTTCCAATATTGAGGTGTACTAGCCAATCCAATGCATTCAAGAGGCAAAGGTCTCTTTTCCTCTCTTCAGAAACAACCCCTCAATATAATTCGGTCAAAGATCCCTTGTTTCCAAAACCCTTATCTCATGTCTTCAATGCACTCTTAAATCATACGACTAAAAACTACAGTAAAGACAGGAAAATAGTAATTTTGGGACAAAGGATCCCTGTGCTACACAATTCATGATGAGGGCTCAAAATTGGCTTTCCATCCTCATGACAAGGTCCTTCCAAGTGCTCTTTATATAAGGAGAAGGAACCAAGTGTGAGGATCATTCTTTTGACAAAAATAAAATAAAAAGGGTTTTTTTGAGACACATTTCACACATGACATGACGTGTTCAAGTGTCTCTCTTTGGTGTTGAAATTTACGAAGAAAACTAAAAAAATGTTTTTGATTGTTGCATCCATGAGAAAAACGTAGGGGAATTTGACGAAGCCTATGAAATGAAGAATATATCTACAAAAAAAAAAAGGGTTTTTTTTTTTTTTTTTCTTTGCCAAACAAGATTATAAAGAGAAGTTAGTGCTGGTGTTGTTTTCATAAGAAGGTTTTTTTTTTTTTTTTTCTTTGCCAAACAAGATTATAAAGAGAAGTTAGTGCTGGTGTTGTTTTCATAAGAAGGTCATAAGTGACTCATCATCATCTTCCCTCACAACTCTTTGTATCATACGGCCACTAATTTTATGCCATTTGATAAAAAAAAAAAACTCCATCTGCTTTGGACGGTGCAAGGCTTGCCTCCCTCGTCGATGTTTTTTGGTCTTTTGTTACTTGTTTTCTTTCTCTATCTCTTTCTTCCTATGGAATAGATATGGATTTCGAGAATGGATTTGAGAGTTTTAGATTAGTGGATTTGAAATAATTAGTTCAACATTGTTGTTTGAAATTCTTGTAAATTATAGGCTCTGTTTGATTACTATTAATCATAGTGAGAGGATTAATAATTAAGTTGGATTAGTGAGATAAAAAATTATCTTGTCAATGTTTGTTTTTCAATGAATATGAAAATATATTATTGCAAACATATGTCTGTTTTACTTTATTAGTGTAGAGGGATAACGCATAGGCCCGAAATCCAAGTCCAGCAAGCAGGATAGCCCAAGGAAAAAGTCAGGACCATCAAAAGATCCGTCAGATAAAGGGAAAACATCACATGACCATAGCCTGAGTAGAATCGCCTTCTAAAAGGAGATCTGCAGAATACATGGAAACCCTTAGATCCATCCTTAATCGACGGTAAGGACAATGGTCCTAGCCTACCCAAACAACACAACCATCCAATGATCTAAATCCAACATATGAAACATTTGGCAAGTTGACCACAGACATCTGAACTAATCTAAGCCACCAACAGCAAGGTGATCCGACGGTAAAGGATCAAAACAACCTGGCCACTTGCCCAACCAAAGTCTAGTAGCAAGCAGAGCCCTTAGATTAATATGCTAATCCAACGGCCGAGGCCAAAGACGATAGCACTATATAAGGAGGAACAAGGAAAAGCAAAGGAGGTAACAAAAAACAAGTCTAACTTCTTTACATTCTAACTTGACCGTCAGAGGATCCTCCTGATCAGGTGATCACTAACGAGTTGTTTTCTCTTTGTAGAGTAAAGGAATGAGCACTTTATCTCGCTTTCCCAGTGAAGAAAATCTCTACCTTCCACAATTAGTCGCAGAACTCAAAAATTCATTAATTTTGTTAGATGGAATGTTCATCATAATCTAATTTTGTTAACAAAAATTGTGACCAAACAATAAAATATTAGTTCTATAGATTAATAATTTCAATCATATACTATAATCGCCTAATCAAACAAGTTCTATGACAGTGGTATAAATTATGTCGACAATGATGGGACCTTTGGTTTTAAATGGAAGGATCACAATTAGTCATAAATTTATATAATATTTCGGTATATATAAATAGGAAACATTATGGTGCACATCCTTTAAAAGGTATATACCATATATATCTTATAACTAAAAAAAAAATGACATAACTTCAATTTTCTAGATTATAACTAAAAAATATATATATATAACTAAACATAACATGAGACATAACTAAATAACTCATGAGTCATAACTAAAATATGTTATAATTAAAGAAGAAAATAACATAAGTAGGTGTATGGGTGTATATTAAAATTCTCTATATAAATAACACTACCCATAATAAATTTCTTATATTGGCCTATTTTGACAATTTAGTTAAAAACCAGCTTTTTGACTTTTTTTTAGTGCTGAGTAAGGAATCCATGAAATTCGTAATCCAATCCAGTCTAGTCCAATCCGATAGGTTTCGATTGGTTTTTTGAATCCGTGGTTCGGTTCCGGATTGAAGAATAAAAATTCGTAGTCCATGGATTGGTTCCGGATTGAACCTCACAATTCTGGATTGGAACCGATCCGAACTGTATACAAATAGTCTATATTTTTATTACACATCCTCCCCCATAATATCTTCTCTTATTCCATATAAAACATAAACTCAAACCTAAACCCGCATCATATCTTCTTTTATTACTTTTGTTTGTTAGTATTTAGTTTTAATTTGTAATTGAAAATTCTAAGTGATTCGTGATTAGATCAAGATTAAAATATTCCAAATCCCAATTATTCAAAACACGCAATCTAAATCGTCAAGCACTTACGAAAGTGATTTAGATTGTTATTTTTCTGAATAAATAATAAATCAACACAAACGATTTTTACGTGGAAAGACCACAATTGAAGAACCTTCAATTGCAATTAAAAACCACGGGCAAAACGCCACTAATCAATCCACTACTGAAGAAAGAAAGATTACAAGGATAATACACAAATTACTCAACTCGGTCAATTTGTCTTCACACCTTCTGTAATTCTTTCACCAAGCCTTCATCTCGGAACTGATCAACCTAAAGTTGAATCCACAACTTCGCTTGTCGAATCAACGACTACGTACAGAATCAAACTCCTTTGAAACTCCACATTTGAATCCTCGAAATCCACCGAGGAATAACACTCTCTTGAATATAAAGTAACAACCTCCTTGATGTATGTATCTTCGATCATAGGTTACAAACCCTCTCAAATATATCAAGGAAAACTCACCAAAAACTTTAGATAAACACCTCAAACAAAACCCTAAAATCCTTAAACAAGATCTAGGAGAAGTAATCCTAAAATTGACCCAACATGCGAATATATAGAACCTGAGATCGCGTGGTCCACTCGAGCGTGGGAATTCCCGCACGAGCGAAGACTACATAATTCGTGATTCATACAAGGTCTACGCTCGAGCGGAACGCTCGAGCGTAGAATCACAACATTCATTATTTTTTGCAGGCATGGCAGAGATGCTGTGAGATGGCAAACCCCGCTCGAGTTTCACTTTCCCCGCTCGAGCGGGAAGACAAAAACCTAGAAAAAAATAGGAAACTTACAAGTTGATTACAACCTTGGTTTTTCCATGGAATTTGACAACAAAGGGTCCTAACAGTAATGATCTAAATACTTATGATGAAACCAATTTTCTTATGGTTGTTTAAATTTTAGATCAGTATGTTGCTATTATAGAAAGACATGTTGCTATTGTAGAACTAATATAACGCTATGTTTATGTTTTTATAAAATTAAAGTGTTATATATATATATATATTTATTATTTAATTATGTGAATTCGTGGTTCTAAACCGATTCAATCCGTGTTTAAATTGGTTGGTTCGGATTGATTCCATGATTTAAACGGATTGAATTGGTTCTAATTTTTCAAAAACCGTAGATAACGGATTGGTCTTGGTTTTACTCCAATCCGGTCCAATCCGGACCATGCTCACCCCTACTTTTTTTGGTCACATCATCTCTCTATTTTTTTACATATTTTTTTTTCAAAAAAGTTCGACAAAAAAAAAAAGGGTCAAATTTTAATCTACTTCTCAAAATAGGCCATTACTATAGTAGGGATTACATGGATGGGTTAGTAGAAAATAAAAAGGTTCTACCTGATACTATTTCTGGTATTTAGTTGGTCAATAACAATACATAGATTGGTGTCACTATTACACTCAATATTTATTATTCTGTAAGATAAATTAACCCAACCGTCAAATGAAGAAAAAAAGAAATCAAAAATAAAAAGAGAATTGGATTTCATCTTGCTTTTTTTTAATATTGTGACAGTGTTCTTAGGATAAATTACAAATAGTTTAAAATAATTATACTTTTATGAAAATATAAATATATACAAATTAAAATTGTGTATCACGTCACAATTTTCATTTACACCAAACACAAATTCACTCATTACACTTCCATGAATTGCCCTACTAAAATTTAATTTCCCTTGTTTTTTAAGCAAAGTGGTGAAAGGGGGAGTAGAAGAGTTGGATTTTCATGATCAATCCAGCATAAGTACCACAGAACATCAGAGGTTGGCTGTAACAGTGAAGATCATCATCTAGCTTGTGTTTCTCAATAATCATCCATCACATCATATGCATATGCAACTTCACAACTCACAACCACCTAGCTGGAACCAAACAATAATCTCTCAGCCAAAGCATATTTGGGGATCTTCCATCAGAAAGCGTAGTTTTGTTTGATAAAAAAAATTAATTAATTAATGACCAATATTTCCAAACTATTACACCATCATACATATTACAACAATAAAATACACATAATAAAAAGAATTTTCTATTTTTTTTCTAGAAAATTTCTTTGAGAAACAAATAAGAAGTCAACCTGTTGTTCTCTCTCACACTCTCAGCCTTTTCTTCAATTGATTTTACCTGTAAAATAAGAGATATGATTAAAACATGAAAGCAAAGGAAATATATTCCTTCTCTCTATAATAAGAGGTTCTCTCTATCTCTCTCTCTCTCCAGATTCCTTCTCTCTATAATCCTGAAAGCAAAGGAAATAACCCCAATCGCAGATTCGCAGCCATGGCATAAAATGCTCTGCAAGGAGCCAAAGCCAACACAGAAAAATCGGAACTAGCATCCAGCAAAGCATATATGCGGAGCTCAATTTCACTTCCCAAACAGGGATCCCCAGCAAGAAGAAATTAGATTCAGGCTTGGAATCACAGATACCATGGAGGATGACACCGATACAAAGAGCTGAATCCACAAACCATGGAAACCTGCGATCCATACCTACTCTCTGTAAGCACGAAGAATTCAATACATGATGCCTGTCGGATACTACGGCAGACTGAACAATGCCACTAAAAATTAAAACCCCCTCTGTGCAAATGTTTAAAACCATTTAAGATGGTTTCCATCCCAGAGATCACTTGCTTTCTTGACTCAGGCCTTTCTTATTTAAAAAACAAAAAACAAAAATGGAGCAAGAAGAAGAAGAAGAAGAAAGACAAACATTCATTTCAATTCAACTCTATTAACGGGAAATAGTACATCTTGAATCGATACACTGGATAAAAATGTTAACGTGGATTGCATTACTCGAAACAGGATGTAGGTTCATCTCACAATTCAACTAAATCCTACTCTCTCAGACAAGTTCTCTATCTTACAAAGAGGGACATCGACACTAAATGGGGAAATGTTTGAACAACCCAGAAGCCGAATCAGCCAGATACAGACAACTACTAACTTGGATCCCCAACCCAAGTAACGGTTAAGAACAAGATGTTCCCTTGCTCATCCTTCAATAGATTAGATGTGCTGGTGTGTTTTTTATTAAGGCATTTCTGCATTTGTTCTCCAATTCAATAAGAGAACTCGTGCCCCCGAAGTGAGATGTACTTCTTAACCCAGATGGCAATGTCCTCAGCACAGGCCTGGGCCTGAGGGGTTGTGAGGAGCATGTCAAGGGTTGCAAATTCATGAACCGCATCCTTGTACTCCAGAACAGGTGCATCAACATTTACTTTCCGGAGTTCCTCAGAGTAAGCAATGCCTCTGTCTCTCATCCAGTCATGTTCTGCTACGATTGTGAGTGTTGGAGGCATGAGCTTTAGAGGTGGTCCTCTACCAGGTATGAGGGGGTTGGCAGCAGGGTGGTCCAGGTTGAACTCTTCCTCAGGTAAGAAGAGTTTCCACGCTAGTAAGCACATGGCCTTGTCATAAAAGTATGAGTTTGCCAGTTTTATCTCAGAATGCGTTGGAACACTTCCAATCAAGAATGGATACATCAAAACCTGTGCCACCACCTTGACTGGATCCAGACGTTTGCCTGCCTCAACAGCTTTTTGTGCCACATAGTTTGCAATGTTTGCACCACAGCTAACCCCAAGAAGAACACATCTGTTTCAACAAATATCAATAATATCAGAGGCTTGACAACATAGTACCACATAATAATAGCTTATGCCTTGTAATGTAACCAACTGTCTTGTAACACAAGCCTCCAATACAACCATCTTAGAACATTGTTATTGTTTTTTTCGTCGGATCACACTACAGGTCTCCAATGATTTCCTCAAAATGTCTACCAGAGAACGAACTCATCTGTGTAATTAAAAAGCAACACCCCCCCTTATAATAGCCTGTTAAGCCCTTTTCAATCTGGCAGGAGGAAACATCAAGCATGTTCGAGGAGTCATAATGGGGTTTTTTTAAAAAGTAATGGTTTTTTGCCAAAACTTTCAACATGAAAGTTGTAGGAAATAATTTAATACACCATAAAAAAAATTAAAAAAAATATTTTTTTACAGAAAATATTTTATTTTAATTTATTTCAATTTTAATACTTAAAAAATAATAAAAATTATGAAGGGCCATAGTCCCTCTAAGAAGCTAGCTGCGGAGGGTCACCTCCGCATAGCTAGTTAGCAGGCTGAGGTCTCGTTCGTTAACGGAATTAACCAGACAAATCGCTCCAATAGTTCACCATCTTTCGGGTCCCGACAGGCATGCTCGCACTCGAACCCTTCTCAGAAGATCAAAGTCGGTCGACGGTGCAACCCGCGAGGGGATCCCGTCGGTCAGCTTCCTTGCGCCTTACGCTGCCACAAGCCAGTTATCCCTGTGGTAACTTTTCTGACACCTCTAGCTTCAAATTCCGAAGGTCTAAAGGATCGTTAGGCCACGCTTTCACGGTTCGTATTCCATGTTGGGCGACGCCGTGGCAAGGCATGCGGGCCGAGGCCGAGGCCGTGGCATGGCATGCGGGCCGAGGCTG